CGCTGATCTGAATCAGCCGTCCAAAACAAGGAAAATGCAGGGCCTATCTGGTAAGACGTCTTGAAGTTTTAAATGGTGAATGGGAATGGTGAGAGCATTTAGCGTCGTTTTCATGGAAGGCATTTTAGACAAAGACGTGAAAGTTGAAAGGCAGCTTTTTGGAAGACAATCGGTTGAAAGAATAAAACTTTTTTGGGATAGATCAAAGAAGACCGGTTGGAACGGCTTGGAGTTTTTTAATAGCTCTCTCGTATTGTTTTCAATTCACCTAGTCTCCTTTGTCAAGGCGCATAATAATAGCACTGTGCTCTACTTTGTTCAGTTTTTGCTGTAGTGACAACCGTTATTGTTGATCCTCGGAATATTTTTTCGTAACTCATGCTACAAGTAATCGCCTTTTATAATTGGATTCCAGCTTGTTTCTGTTTTAACATTTGTATTCGTTTATTATCAAATGTTGATCCTACCGTTTTTTAACGCTTGTGTTACTGACTTTTGTGGTGTCATCTACTCCGTAATAATCATGATTTTCCTTATTCTGCCTTATCTTTGTTGATCTGCGCTTAGTGGTCACCAGTTTTATCTTTGATTCTTTTCTCAACTTCACTTAACTGAAAGCCGTACGTGACACTGACAGCATCGGTACTACAGCCGTGATAAAGGGCGAAAAGCTAATATTTCATTTTACCGTCTGTTTACATGCCCAAAAGGTCAAGACTCGACCATTCTGCGAGGCTTCTAAATTACCACATCTCGGAGCGGTATTGTCGTCTCACCCGTTCGGTCAAAAGTTTACAATTTGGGTCGTGTTAATTAAATTTATTTTGAAAGTGAGGGTAATGGAAGTTAGTACTCATTTATTTACACTATGGCAGTAATAGAGGTGGTGGATTTTATTGCTACTGATGAAAAAGACGGGAATGCGGTCTCTTTCACCAAGCCACAAACTTTACTTAGGAGGGGGGAGACCGTTTGGAGATGGGTGATGTTTTCTCCACCCTGCGTGTCTACCATCATGGCATATGCATCAGTTACGTCATCAGCACTGCATACGCATCAGTCTCGCCTTTCCCTACTTCTCGTGTGCTTTTACCAACTTCCCACCCATTACATACGCCCACGCAATGGTGATGGCATGGTAGACTTATGGTCTCATTTCCAATTCGATCGTCATTTTGCTTCAGCGCTGAATTTTCAGAGGAACTAACATTACTCCTAGGTAGGTGTCTTAAATGCTCACCGATGATACAATGCAAAGTAAGTAGTCTTTCTAAAGCGAATACATTTATTTCAGAGCGCCTTACTGCAGGGCAGGAAAGTCAATGAATAGAGTGCCACTTTGTTGCTATTGCCTCAAACACCTCCAAAAGCTTCCACGATAGTTCACTTTTTCAATACAACTGTTTTTCTCCCTTTACTGTTGTTCGGTCACCGTGGTAAGTGCGGATACTCTGGGTCTGCGTTTTACTTATTGCACTTCTTCAAGATGGTGTCCACTTTTGTACCAACGTTGGCTTAAACTGTGCAGGCGGTGTGAGGAGAACTTCTCATAAGAGTTATAAAGACTGCGCCTGAAGAGACTTAACAATACTTTATTACAGTATAGTCTTACTGCATTATGTCTTACTTACCAATGATATTGTGTCTCGTTACTGTTACTGTTCCTTGGCCTCTGTTGTGCTTTCTTTATCGATGGATAATTCATCCTCTCGAAAGGATGAGGTTGTGAGTTCTTTTTTGACTAATGCTGCCTCCCTGCTTAGCTTTTGTCCCTCCGTTAAAACGTCGGGAAATAATGCGACGTGTTGGAAGCAGAATAAAGGGAAGGATGGACATTTTTGACCCGCATTTACTTCTTATTGATAACCCCTCATTTCCTTCCCCAGTGATGCACCTCTTGGAACACATGACTTTCTTTCTACAGTAATAGCTTTTCTTCCAAATGACGCCAAGATGTGTGGGAAATTTGGCCTTCGAATGGTCGCTTTGGTGTTTGCACGTCATTACCATTTTCTCCACACTAGCTCTATTCAATTACGGTATCTTTATTTTGGGCAGAAATTTCCATGGTTGAATGCATCTGTTCAAATACCACTTAGTGACCCATTTAATTGATGGTAGGCTATTTGGATTTGCTTCCAATTGTGACGATTTTCCCTCAGCTATGCAAAAGTAATCGTGAAGAACGGATGAGGCGATCACCACCTCGCATCAGTCGCTCTGTTGGACGGTCACGTGCTGTACGACTGCAGCTGTTTGAATAAACTTCCATTGTTGCTCTGGGGGGAGGGAATGTGAAGTCCAGTGCTTTTTAGGCAGCACCCTACCACCTTGGATGCAAGGGACTTTGCGTTCGTAAACAATTTGCATTTGCTCACACTCCCGCGTTCATGCCAGTCGAGTTCGGCCAGTGCGACTACGCACAATTGATTGTACAGGAATGCATGACCACGTCAAAATATAGGTCGGCCATGGATTATTTTTACCTTGACAGTTCACTCATCTCACTTTCAAACTTCAAACAGTCTTCTTTATCGCCACAGCTGAGATTGGAAAGTTTGTTTGTTTTTTTTAATGGCGGCCACCTTTTATGTGTCCCATTAAAATGGCGACAAAATTTTGGAGAATAAGAGGGAATTTTGCATGTTCCGACTAAATGGACAGCTGGTTTTGTGCCACTGTAGCCCATCAGAATGTGGGGAGTCATCTTGGTTTGATTAATGGTCTAGTGGTGAGGCATTTATCTTATTAGCCGACCGGAGGAACGCATTCCTAAGGTGGTAAGATCAAGTTTGATACAACTTCAGCCCAAAAGTGCGGTGATCTCCTTGAGCCTTCCGCGGCTACTTTTTGTGTGCACCTGTTTCGTTGTAAGATAAATTAACCAACTATTTGCTGCATATAATTAATGAAGTACTTGAAGGCTGGAATTCGTTACACAGCATGTTTTGAAGTGCTGAACCGACATTGGATGCTCGGGACGAATCTCTAGAGCTGTGTCTCTGAGATGCGTTTGGGCTCCTTCTCACTCATCCACTGGTTTTGGTCTCAACCGAGAGTCTCAAACCATCAACTATGCGAGTACAACATATACTTTGAAGGACTCAACTTTAAGGGCGAACGAACAGTAGCCGGCATCGGTGTTATTTGCTTTCCGGTACAGGTATTAACACATCTAAATCATGAAAAGTAGGTTAGCTATCGATGCGCGGTTGATACTGTCGTATACATCGAAAGAATGCGTTTACATAAAGTCGTCCTTCAACGACTTCACTTTTGATCGACCGGTTCTTTGCTCTCGAACCGGGATGAGGCGATCCAGTACCTCCTTATTCTCTGTGAAGACAAGGTCTGGTGAGAATAGCACCTCTTTGTATCAGTTGACTAGTTTTAGTCCCTCGTAGGGCTTTCCTGGCATACCTTACATTTGGACTCTGTTATATAAAAATTGCGTCCACAGTCCACTGCACAAAAGTCAGTGCATGCTTCTGGTAATGAACTTAGAACTTATCGAGTGACTATCAAGGAGGTTGATTGGGCAGTTCAAAATCGTGAATGATCTTTCTCATCATGGATTATCGGGTCGACTAGTTATCCACAATCTATTAGCAAAAACTCGATGTTAGACTTTAGTTTGTTGACAACATGTAGATAGGATCTGTTGCCTTAACTTTCGCCTTAGTCTCTCCGCCGTTGGTGTGGATGTAAACGAATTCATTCATTGCTCTTGTCGGGGTTTGCTGAAAACTGTTGATCCCTCAACCTCGAATTGCGTGTGTGATTTGATCATATGTAGCAAGTCATGATTGGTTTATTCGCGTACTGCAAACACCACCTCTTCCAACACTATGAAACGCTCTTGTAGCTATTTTGACTGCCATTTCATGCAAGTAGTTGGAGTTAAGAATTATTGGAAGGCAATAGGCACATATTCACCTGTGCTTTATTGCGTGTGCACAAAATTAGTTGGACGCATTTTACATTCCTTCGACTTTAAGGAAGTAATTTAAATGGGGTCGCATTGATATTTACTGGCCTCTTTCTAGATCTATACGTTTTTGCCTTATTTTCCCTTTTGCTAAACATTCAAGGTCATCACCCACCTGTTCGTCGAATTATAATGAGTTGTTTCTTGAATGTGCATACTTATTTTTGCATAGTTCCTCTGTGATTGGAATTCAGATTTTAATTCCTTCCTCTAAATTCTATCCCCTTTCGAAAAACCCTATTTTCTTATAACTTGGCTATAACCTTTTTTACTACCCTTGATACGAAAATGTTTTCAAGAATTTGTACAGTAAAATTCTTTTTGTGCTCTTCTTGAAGGGGTAGATAAATTCGTAATTGCCGCTTGCCTTTTTCCCCATTTAAGTTACAACACTCGTATTGTTTACTTGAAGGCATACTGTAATGCTGCAGTCCACTCGTAACCAACACCATCTCGGGGCGATGAATTTGGGTGGACATCGAGTGGATTCTGATAAATAACACCTATGCATTAACGACAAGAACCATGCGATGGAAGCGTGCAAACGTTTAATGTAAAAAAGCCAACGTCAGCATTTTCTCATTACCTCAGGGCAGTGGGAAAATAAACTCCTTCCTAGCTCTAGGATGAGCAGCATCTCTGAGTTTTGAGGTCCATCCGTAAAATTGCATTTGATTTTATGGTTAATCTCAGACTTAAAATTGTATGTATTGACAAAACTAATGTACTGGCTTAGACATGCACACAGGTGAATATGATGCTCTCACAAAAGCGGTTGTGAAAACTTTAAAAAGCTCGGGATTGGCTTTAATCTTCATTCATTCAACTTCTACTATCTTCAAGGCGCCTTTAGGAGCATTGCTTTAGAGTGCAGTCGGCTGGACGTCTAGCGTCTTTTGTATGTCACTTAGTATGGAATTTAAACTCACCCTTAGGAGAGGTTATAAGAAGGCAATTTGCTTTCACATTTCTTGCCCTGATTTCATCGCCTATGCGTCGCGCATAGGCAGACGTAACGTTCTGAAGCTTTATCTCTTAGAAGAGGAATCGCTTGCGGTGCCTGAGTGGTTGACTCTGGCAGAGGGTGTGCGACCGCATCCATTAACGGAGAAGGTGGTGGTGCCGGGTACCCTGAACCGCCTGGTTGGGATGCTCAGTGTTGCCAAGGAGGAACTACCAGATTGTCCCCTCTACTTTCAGTCGGATCGCCTCTGTGCAACCCTCCGCACTCCTGTGCCTAAAATCGCCCTTATCAGGTCAGCTTTCCTGTACGCCTTTTCATCATTCCGTTGTGAACAGCTTGCTGCATAGATTGTTGGCCTCTATTGGCGGTTGTTTCAGACTTTTGGTAAGCACTTCCAACACCTATTTTTCTATGGCCTAGCCGTGCAGAAGCCATAATTCACATTATTTAGAACGCAGCTATCATCAAAACTTTTGAGCGGTCTCAGTAACGAGCATACTGTGAGAGGGACTGACGGTGCTTTGAGTGCTGCGCATTGCGTACAAATGCCATAGTGAATCTAAATAACTTGAAGGCAAGAGTAACGATTTATTTCCTATTTATTGGTGGGATGGAGAGTCTTGTGAATTGTGGAGGGACATTAATATTAACGTTTTTCTGCTTGACATCAAGCGCAGTTCTTTCAACGAGTAATTTTCTTAAGTTCATTGCTCCTCCTTTGGGTAAACAATGTTAGCATGATGCAAGGCAAGTTAGTATCATGCGTAACCGCTTTCATCATCCTAAACTTCACACAACATTGTATCTATCGGGCTTTCACATCATGCTTGTATTTGGTTGCATACAATTTTGGGAAAGCTTTCCCTTCATTTTTGCAACGTGGTCTCGATGTATCATGAGGTGAAAAGCCAAATATTGCAAGTTCTGCAGTTTCTCCTGCCATCCATCATACTCTCAGCTACCTCCTTCCATGGCGATTTGTATTGAAACCGCTATCTTGGCTCGATTTGCTTTTACTGAAGCTAATGCTACTCATTAAAGCGTGGCACTATATTTGTCTTCTTTGAAAAATTGATTTGTGAGGATAGTTGCCATCAGAGTTCCATGGTTCCATGCATGTCTGGGTTTATTGCTTTGTTCTCCTTCTGGTACGTAAAAGGTCTTGTTGGTAAATACCTAAAGTTATACTCTTAGTAGGTGAGACTGCTGTTTCCATCAGTTGTATCAGCAGTACTCAGCGACGGTTTTATTAAAATTAACACCTCAAGATTATTTCGTAGCAAATTGATTTAAAATTGCTCCGATGACAAAGCAGAACAACATGCGATGGTGATTCTTGGAGTAAAATAATTGTTTTAGACCCACTTTGTAGTTATCTTCTTCATTCATTTTCCAGGCGGTTTCCGTGCTCCCTTGCAACCACTGCCAAAATCTTCTATTTGTGGCTGTCGCTGTCCAATTATTTTCACTTTACACATTAGGTGCGCAATTAACTTGAAGCATTTTAAGTATCGTTGACTGCGAACCAAAGCAAAGGTAAGTTCATTACAAGGATTTAGATGGTCTGGGCGACATAGGCCAGGGCCTTTTTGCCAATACGCAACAAGGTTAACGTGGTGGGAACTTCAAAACGTTGAACTAAAGCGTGAACCTCTCCGTCTTTGCTTAGACGCGTTAGGAGTTTTACCATTGAAAGTTGTCGTTTTGTACATCATCATCTTGCATATCTTGCAGCAGGATTGTTGCTGTTGCTGTTCTGAAAATCTAATGCTGTTAAAAACGAATAACGCTCTAAAAGTGCGGTTTTTCAGTGACCTTAAATTGTTGCAGCAGACAGTGGGGAGGCGCCGAGGAACTGATCACATTCTGACAAATCGTTGAATAGGATCACGAACATTTGTTGATTGACGGATCTTAAAATTCTTGAACCACAGTGCGGTAATCGTCTTCATTGGGATCTGTGACGAGCCAATTTGTTTTGAGGATACTTTCCTTTGTACTCCTCGTTTAAATACCTTTCTTGACTGAGTGGTACTTGTAAACGTAACCTCTTCTACCTCCACATCCTTTTTCGAACTCGTTTGTTGTTGCCAAAAACATAGTTAATGTTGGTCTATCCGCTTGTTATTCTTTATCTCGGTCCTCATTTTTGAGTACCTGAGTGCTCCTTTTTTTCGGTTCTTAACATATTTTTGAACCCATTCTTACCCTTTTAAAGAACTACCTGTGTTCTTGCTCCAGCGTTGGTTAAGAAGGCATTTATTTCTCTTACATGAGATATCTTTTCCAAGTTCTTCATGATGGCTTTTTAGCTTTGTCAAACGAAAATCTCCTCCTATTCCCTATCTCTCATGGATACTTTAACGATTGTCACCATAATAGCCTAACGAAATTCGCATTAAATTTTTCTGTTCATGTTAGGCTAAGTGAGCTTGTAACTGACCTTTTCAGAAGTTATTCACCAGTACACAGTGTCATTCCCTAAATTCTGCTTCGATACGCTGTCTATTAGCTCTCCCTTTCATCCAAAACTGAGGAATAAACATCTTCATGAGTGATCGTTTAATTTAGTCCCTACCACGTACTGCATCCATCAAATGTGCAGACACTTTAGTGTATAAACAGCTCAATGTTAAATGCTTCCGTAGAATGTGGAAATATATCGCTTGGTATGCTTCTCAATCGTGACTCATGTGCTCTTCATCCATTGTGATTCTACAAATTACAATGACTCAGCTGTAGTTAAGGTAGAGGGCAGTTTCACTTTCCTCTGTCTTCAGTGACCATTGAGTTCAGAGCCGCTGATCCCCCATTCCCTCTGGCACAGGTCTTGGCAGTGAATAATCAGCCCGAGTCTTAGCCTTGCTGCTTAATTACTTCTATCGCAGGGGTCTCCTTAACCACCCGTAGTCCGACATCACGCAGTGGTCGTTAAACTTTCACACTTTCCTCTTAATTTACTGTTCCATTTCACTTTACCATCATGAAATGTTAATGAGTCTGTCTCACGCTTAGAATTCACCATTTGCGTATCTCCCATTTTGAATGGTTTTGAGTAATTTGGAGTTTACGTGAGTCAAAATATATTAAAATGTTTTAACTTGACCGTATGTTGGAAACCACTGGTCAATCTTTTTTGCACTTGTTAGGTCAAGTCTTAATGTTGTTACTAATTTTATGTGACCTTGCCTGCCTTTCGGCGAGCTTTTTCGCCTGAAGGCGCAAATGGGTACCTTTGTGGTTCTGGTGAAGTGAAATTCTCTACTTTTGCCTTGCATAACTCTGGAAAAGAACTTGTCTACACACCTTGTCTACGATAGCCAACACCAAAATTGACGCTCTACTTGCCAGACCTCTTTTTGTTTTGCATCCCTTTTGGAATGTATCCTGCAATAAAGCATGGTTTTGGGGAAGGTTAAATAAGGATAACGCACTTTGTTGTGTATGAGCTGTTTGAATGGCGATGGTCATATTTTGCGCCACAACCAGACTAACTAACCAACTAACTTTCAAAGCAAATGTGCTGGAGTTGGCTTTATCAGTCTAGAGGAAAGATTTTTGCTTAAGGCTTATGCATGTATCAGATTAGACACTTCCGCCATGAATTCGCGTAGTACCTGAGTTTGGCAAAGGCCCTTCCTAAGTACGAACGTATGCCTTTATTGTTCACGAAGGGTTACACTATCCTTGCAGTTGTTGACAATAGTATCCCCCATTTTTCTAAACTATTTAAGTACTAACTTTTATGCTTACTAAGGGAGCCTTTTCAAGTGTGGTCTTGGTTATTATTTTTTAATTTTCGGCAGATCTTCATGCATTGTCAGTTAAACTGTGCTAGGCTCAAAGGTCATCAGTGCATTCAGCGCATGTAACTATGTTTACTACTGTACGAATGGAATTCTTAAATTCCTATTCATTTTCTCATAAAGACCGCTTTCTTACGTCGTAGATGCAAGGACAGACAAAATTCACTTGAAGATGCTTTTGCGCTTACCGCTCTATTGGTGGTTTACTGTAGCACCCCTCGAGACCTTCTAAAATGGGAGAAGACATTGCTGAAACAGGTCCTCTTGCATGCCCAGACGCCATACTGTCCAGCGAAAGCACAACAACATGCACCAGCTTTTCTGCCGTTCTCCTTGGTCAGTCATAATGTAGTTTAAGTTTTCACAAACACACATCAACCGACCTTGCCAGTCCTCCGAACTGCCTCAAATTTAGGTGTCTGACTACAATGCCGCTAATCCATCCCGCTTGTTTCACTAGATCTGGAGTTCCTTTCAGTTTGGAAAACTTTAGGTAATCACACACGCCCGTCGATAGTGGAACTGGTTTGATGCCTTGAAACATAAGTATTAAAAGCAAGTCACAAGGTTATATGAATTATTAGTTGCTAGAGTAGTCGTTCCGGTGTAATGTCCTTGCCGCGTCCAAATCTCGATCTCGGGATACACGAGGGTATTTGTGGAGTAGGCACTTGCAAGACTGCTCCCTACACTACATAACACTGCATAACATCGGGAATGCGGACTGGAGCCAGTAGAAATTAAAAGATGGTGTTGAAAATACGACGAAATTGTAATTATTGGCGGGAGATCCTGACAGTTTGGAAGACTAAATGTCTATTTTTACTGTTCTGATCTTGGGGCTAAGCGCTGAGTGGCACATGGGTGAGCCTGTTATCTGGATGATCACTGTGACGAAGTGGGTCTTTTTCGTCGATGAATGATTATTATCATTGGAGCACCCTCTTAGACCGATAAAACTATCGTCCGATGGTTTGAAATTCACGAACTTATTTGGTAATTTAATGAATGTCCACTTGGAATAAGCAACTCCCGCCGAACCTCCTCGCAAAATCGCTCACTATATTACTCACGGAGGAAGAGTAATTAGCATTATGAAGACGCAAGTCGATAACAATCTACTGCATGGCTGCCTCCGATTTTGTACCCAGCCTCTGAATCGGGAGATCTTGCACAAGCCCGTTCCTCAAGTGCAATTTCACTGGAAATGACTGGTGCTCTCTGTCTTTGTCTAGCAAACTGCGTCGTGACTTATGCGAAACATTAAGCTCTTGAGGGTAACGCGGGAGCAATTTGGCTCAGCACACTGATTCATGTGAGTTGACGACATGTTCTTAGCTTTTTTCAACTTTGTTGGCTTTAAGGCTCATACTTTATGCTCCATAGGGGAGGAAGACAGTAATCAGCACGATGAGTTTCTGGGATGGTAGTTGATGGAGGCAGCACGTATGGACTAGGACCGAACGTGTTAACAGTGGACGTTTAACGTCCCTTCCTGATTCATTTAGCATTGCGATATTTGTTCTCTGCTCTGGATTTATAGGTACAACAACTCTAAAAGACGATTTATCATTGTTTGACAGATATCGTAGCCAGGCTCTTCTCATTTTCATGACCGTAAACTCTAGAGCTTCGTTCGTTATGGGCGTTTTCGCCTTTTCGAACTATAAAACCCTCTCCTTCCCCTCACTTTTTGCCTTGGCAGCCGAGTGGAGGTGCGCTGCAAGATTTATTGCATTCCACATTTGGCGTTCCCAATATTGTTAATCTAACGCTGCTGATAGAAATGAACTTAACTTGGCCTAATAACAACTTTGATAGTAGTAGAAAGGGATCAATCGGAGAATTGTTCTCATGTCAAATTGATTCGTTAGTGAAAACAATCATCGCGGATCAAGCGTTTGAATGAGAAGCAGTTTTTTTTACCATATTTGACTAAACAACCTAACTGTAGCGCAGGTTGATTTTCCACTATCCTTTGTTGTTTTTATCTTCAACGTCATAGTCTTCTCTGTACCATGTCATGAACTGAGAAGGCGTGTTGGCAGAGCACGCTTGGAGCTTAGATCTTCGCGGTGGTTGGACGAGTTAAATGAGGCATTGCCAATTGAAGCGGATCAATGTAATGATTTTATTCATGAATTCCAATTCAAAATATGTACCCTATTTAGTCCCTTGATGTACCTTTATATGCACCAATAAAGTGGTCTAAGGGAATCCCCATCCTTGCTCCGTTGGATCCTAGCCTTTATCATACTGATGTAATTCAACAGCTGCCACGGTCGGTTTTCATATTGCACGAGAAGTTTTTCGTGAGTGGAGGATTTGCGTGAATTTTGCGTTAACTTCAAACAGTGGTTTTGCAACATAGATCGGCACTCCTCAATGCTGGGTATCGCGTCTCCTTTTCCCACGCAGCGCTGAGTTCTATCAAGACGGATGCCCCAATATCCTTCATCTGGGACGTAATGTGCGCGTGGAAACGCAAGTACGATGCCGATGTGAAGGCAAAAGACGGTTCTACATCTCCGACACGAACATTACCATTGGTAGAAGAGGATAATGATAAAATGAAGGATGATGAAAAGGCAGCAAAAGAACAGAAACAAAAGAAGCATGGCAAAAAGCAACCACCTAGTGAGACGAATCTTCGCATTGTCAATAGGCTGATGTCGCGCCCACCAAATCCAACAGTCTCTTTCAATCTCCACCCCGATGCCAACCCTCCCTCACGGGCTAGTCGACTTTTGAGGCAAGTCGCAATACTACTATCTACTATTAAGTTGAAGGTAGACGTTGTGCATGAGAGATGTGATACATGCATCAATTGATCAATTTTAGTTTCTAATTTCCATACCCTATTTCTGAAGACCAAGCCTATTTTTCATTGCCAAATCTATTTGCCACGTGTTATTCAATTTGGGGCAAGTGCAAGGGAATTTGTGTGCTGTGGTTAAACTCGACCCGGCCTCGCGAAATGTGACGCGGTCTCTCGTCGCTCACCTACTGCGGTCTTATCGACCTCACATTGTCTTTCCACTAAGCAGACTTTTCCACGAGTGTAAAAGCCCTACGGTCTAATCGTATGACATTAAAACTAAAATTGCAACTAGGGCCAATGCTCCTCTCGCCGTCCATTTATTGTGAATGGCCGACCCCCAGAGAATAGATTAGCAGAATTAGTTGCGAATTCCCAAAAACGTGAGTGAAGTCCTACATTTGATATCTTTCACTAGTCGTCTATGCTTGAGCGACTGATATTATTCACGTATGAGCATCCGGTCGACTGCTACAGATGGATAACGTTTACGCCTCCGCTATTACGCTTAATCGACCAAAGATATACATCGGTCTTCCCGTTTATATTTCCTACATTACATTGGATTGTTAAATAACTTCTTTATGCGTTCCAGATACCAGGTGAACCCCGCGCCCAACTGGGGGCCCAAAGCTCGCCCCCCACGGAGCACAATGAGTCGCGATGATGATGAGGTAGTCGCCTTACCGCAACCCAAAAAGACGAAGAAATCAGAGTGACAAAATACACATTTATCTCGCCGCTTTTCGTTAAATATCCATAAGAATGAGGATGAGTGCGAGTACACAACAGGAACCGAGATTGCGTCGAAGACGGGGCGGGTGGAGGCGGACAATTGAAAGACAAGAGATGAAGGGGTGTCAAAGTCCTATCGAGTCGAATTTGGGGGCGGACGCGCAGACTGACGTTGAAGCTGTACCCGTCATGCCTTTTGCCACCTCCCAGTCTTCAAGTGCAGCGTGGCACTGAACAAGGGAGGCCTCGCTGTGCTTACTCACCCAGGGGTCCTGGATTACCTCTGCGGCTGTGATTCGTACTGTTGCATCTTTTTCTAGCACCTGTCGTACCCGAAAAAAGGCTTATTATTCGCAGTTAATCGTAAGACAGTATGGGTCACAACGGCCGCCCAAATGTTAATGCATGTTTCTTGGAATGCCTTCAAGTAAGTAGGCTGGGTACAAATTCAAGAACTTAAGTCGTCACACAACAGAAATGGAGAGGTGACAGTGTCGCGAGTGGACGGAACCAAAAGCCATGGGCGAGACATGAATAAAAGCCTGAGGAGAGAAAAGTACATAATAATAGAGGGTCGAAAGGTTTGTCTCGAGGGGGCATGGTTAGTGAATCAGCGAGTATTTTGTCGAGTAGTAAGCAGGAGGATTTTTCACCCCAAGGCCATGCATTTGACGTAAATTCAGAGAAATAGCATGACTGAAGATCAGAACGGCACGCCGTCGGCCTCTGAACTGCGGTAAGGGTTATGATTTGACGATGAGCACCATTTGGAAGGAAGAAAGCCACAAAACAAAACCATTTGAGAGTAATGGGAATGCATTACGGCAGTCCTTGCAGATTTAAAAGTGGCCAAGGAGATTTGTGAAAATGATGATTACAAGCCCAGGCAAGAGACAATTAGTCGTTTAACTGCAAGTGCGTCGATAGACTTACTCGCTTTAAAAAACGGACGGCGTCTCCACATTTTATAAAGCTAAAGTCGACTTCATCATTTTGGATTGCAAGCAAAGTTTCCCTCTCAGACGTTTTCTCGAAAGGAACTCTTTTGCACAGCATCTCATAAGCCGTAACTCCAAGACTCCATATGTCACATTTGAAATCGTGCATAGAATCCACAGAAGTCATTTCCGGCGCAAGGTAGGACAGCGTGCCCCAAACAGCAGTGAGCCTAAACAAAGGTGAATTCGGAAAAAGGAAAACCTACTTAGAACCTGGACTGTGAACTGCGCAGCCAAAATCACCAACCTTTAACTCTCCATTCGCACCCAGTAAGATGTTTGAAGGATTGATGTCACGATGGATAACTCTACGGTCATGACAGTAATCAAGAGCATGCGCTAGTTGATAGACGTACTATTTTAGTTGAAAATAATACCGACACCGTTAATAAACTAACTGTAGCGGATCGAGTGTTAGAAAAATTAAACTTCTGTATGTCTTTTGACAATTCGCCTCTAGGTGCGTACTCCAACATCACGTAAACTCGTTTTACATCGTAGAAGTAGCCGTACAAGCGTACGATATTAGAATGTCTGAAGTTAAGAAGTAAAAAAATTACTTGAGATGAGACTGAATTTCAATCTCCCTTTGCAAAATTTGCATCTTTTCTAAACTTGAAAAATGCAACCTAAACATGATCTAAATATAAAGAAGGCTGAGAACACTACTTACTTTAAGGCACAAAACAAACCGACTCTTCTTCTCCCTTACAAGGTATACAGAACCAAACCGACCCCTGCCCAAATTTTTGCCGATATCAAAATCCATGAGGTTCCATTTTTTTGAAAAACTATATCACATGCGTCTGCAAAACTATGACTTACTGAGGAGGTGACGCAGAAGCCTGTCTTGATGACACCCCACCTGAAATGATTTTGAGCTTCTTCGGATCGTAATGGATGCATCTATGGTGGGGATCACTTGAATGAGGGGACGAACCATCCATGCTATGAATAAATCAGTACCTCGCGCCTCTTCATATGGTAAGTAGTTGTAGAGCAGTTAAACAATGTCAATCTTTTGTATTACATTTTATTGGTACATAGTTTAAATTAAATTTACTTATAAAAGACCAAAAATTATTTAGAAAAATTTAATCAGCTTTTGCATTTTTTAAAGTGATACATAAAATGCGATGCCGTTACTGGGGGATCATTCTAACAAGTAAATCGCAAATCCCAAAATCACGATATTCTATCTTTTTTCAAGCGTACTATATGTTATTAAATTAAGTTTGCCAACTCGACAGCATTTATGGCTTTTTCAATGTTCCGCCTGATTGCGGTAATGTCGAGCTTGGTAACTTGCGGCCTTCATAAATGATTTGACTAAATTAAATTGTAGCGTCTCGAAACTTCCTAACCGGTATAAAACATCAGTAAGGGCAGCTGGATACGCGTATTTCGAAGACATGGGCATGGTCCGAGGGCCAGCCCACGTGTACAAGTGTCAGACTAATCCTAAATGACCGCCAAAAGTCACGTGGTCACATAAACAAAGTATTACACTACCCCTCTCTTCTTTTGAGCTACGCCCTCAGCGCTACCCTTTGGGACACCTCCCGCTTCAGCCATCACAACATTTTTGGTACTATGTGAAAGCATCCACGAGCAAACCGCGCCAGTCGACAGATAGACTGAGGTACCGTGGCTTGTCTCCTCGGCAGCTTTAACTGGGTCTGGTGTTGCGTTCGGTGTGACGACAAGATTCAGGGCTACATACACCTGTTGACCATTATTTGCTTTCAGGAATAAGGGTGTAACTCCGGTTTAGAATATATATGTCACATGAAAAACGGAATGAGCCATTGTCCTTCATGTAATGAGAACCGTAGTGTCATTTCCAACACCTAAATATGGATTTTGTATGGGAAATTCCGACACGAATCTTTCCAGATAGTTCACGGCGGTGTCGCTTCAGTTGTTAATAGGTTGTCTGGGGAACATGGGAATAAGGTGAAACCAAATGCAGACGTATCGTCCCGAGACTTCCCATAGGGTGGAAGAAGGTATAAGTGAGGTTTATAACATGTATTCAGAAGACGACACGGCAAATGGGGCCCGAGCGTGGCCCGAGGGTCAGCCCGCGTGTATAGGAGCCAGGCAACTTCTAAAGTGACCGCCAAACGTCCAGTATTCACATAAACAAAGCATTACAGACATCCGTCTAAATCCTTTCGTTGCGAAGGATTCAGAGATTCTCCGTCACCAAAGTAAATGCTCCTCCTTCTATCCACGTCCCTTTTCGCCTGTATCCTCATCTATTGCACTTCGGTAGAGTCAGACTTCCTTCTACACACGTATAGCTCATGATTGCCAGTACACAACACCGAAATGCGCCTATTGATTTTAAATTTCTCCACTAAAATGTAGGATTCCTTTGCAGTCTTGTCTGCTGGTTGGATTATAAACGTCTTGTCGCGAAAAGAGAGGTCTCGAAATTCCAGCCAAGGAAGCCCCAGTTTGGGGTCCAACAGGTTATCAGGCTCATAGATGCTCAACTCCAGAGCATCAACACCAAGAACAAGCGACATACATCTGCAGATCCTGTGCGAGATTTGTAGGTACAGAATCATTGCATCATCAGATCAAACCGTTGCTCGTCGGCTTGTTCGTGCTGTTCTCTTCTGGAAATCAGTCGATTAATTGACAAAGTTTAGCAACACAAACGTAGGATGCCAGCAAGACAGCGGTGTCTGTTGGACAATAGATTTTCCCGGACACTATGTCGTTTTTAACAGACGACCAACGAAGAACAAGCCGCAGAGAAAGAGACCCACCTCGGGTAGCGGGCTCTCCAAAACTACTATATACCTAAAAGTCGTTGAAAAATGTCGAATTCGCTTTCCGCTGCCACCAGTGTGGCGTCCCGAGACCTCCTGACCGGTATAAGAGGTCAGTAAGTGCAGCTGGATACATGTATTCTGAAGACGACAAGACAATTGGGCCTAAGCATGGCCACGTGTACAAGGGCCAGACAAACACCAAGGTGACCGCCAAACGTCGTATGGCCACATAAACAATGTAATACCTATGGTGTGACTTGTTTTCGAAAGCCATCCATTGCCCCGTACCTAAGTTCTACGCCTTATAATATGAATGTGTTTCCTTTTTTTCGTCAATAGGTGGTCTTTTGCACCAATATTTTGTACTTAAACCTAAGTAAACAATTTGTCACCCATACGACTTACTTTTGGGGATAAACGAATTCCCTGAACCTGCTCGGCACTTTCCTAAAGAAGGTAGTTGAGCCGTGTAAGAGCTGCTTGCCTACCCTCTGGTCCTTGAACCTCAAACTTCAAGAGAGGGTTGGTTACAGATGATTTATTTGGCTTTTGTTATAGGAAGAATGAGGATCGGAGATGCAAATGAGCCAAATAGGAGGTATCAACTGGAGACAGCATGCTCACCGTCTTCACGCACGTGATTTACGTGTCCAGTTGGTTCCCGCCTCTCTCCTACAAAAGTCCACTCAGGCCAACTAGTATATGCTACAGGCCGCACTCGATATGGTATGCAATTTGACAGCTATTACATTAGTTTGGGTGAGTGTTCGCTGCCTATTATTCCCAGTTGTAGTACAGTGGGATGCAGTCAAGGTGTTGAACGCTGGAAATGGAAACAAGCTCATCGGTTTGGGTGCAATTATATTACATGCTCCTCTTATCTTACTAAGTAAAGAAAGTTTAGCTGGCTATTTTAACATTCAGAATCTTTACAAGTTTTACTCTGTACACTTCTACAAGGCATTTTAAAATTGAATATATTAGCTAACAGAATCCAAAAAACATTGATATCGACCAACATAGGGTCTTATCTACGTCTCCGCAAGCAGTAGTAATACGACAAGAACGACGTGCTGCAAGCGATTGAAGCCTCCTTGCCTTCTACTTACTGCCTCCTACGTTCGCACTTCGCCACTGCGACTAGCTATTTGCGTTAGTCCATAAACGCCCAGACTGATGCGCCTTAAATTGTTCGACGTATGACGACCCAACATAGCCTTAAATCACAATTCGTCAGGACAGAATTCACCTACGCCTGCCATATTGGACCCCCCCGGGCTTGATAGTGGCACCCCTTTCATGGCTAATTTACATAGGGTCGGGAGTGCTCCCACACACTGGCCAAGTTAGTTTTTTGTCAGTAGCTAGCTTGTTCATTCCGAAACATCAAGTTCACCAATGGTTTTTTGCGCGGTAAGACAACATCACTACTTAGCTTCCCTCATTTTAGGACGGAGTTAGAAGGCTGGAGATTGTTAGCACCTGAGATTCACTAAATTATTAACATGGCTCGGGTACCACGCCACTCAGTGAACTTATTGAGGCATGTCCTTTGGCACCATTAAGCTACGAGGTGTTAATAAATTGAAGTCTCAAGCTTTATCGCTGCCTTTAATCGGATAAATACTTAATGATCTGCCTTTGCAATTACCTCTCCCCATTTGTCCAGCTTCTTGTAGGTAATCAAATAAACCTTTAGTCTGGGTTGTTTCAGCGCGCCGCTGTTCACAAACACCATTCGATGGCCATAAGTTTTGATCAGAACCGTTGACATAATTTCTTGAACAGCGACCACTAAGTTGAAGAGCCAACCATTGACAGCCACTTTTGTGGCATAGGTGCCGGTGGTGGAACACCCGACCACAAGTATCTAGCAAAGTTGTGTCAAATGAAAGACACGTTACAACCAAATACACATCTACGCTAGTATTCGATGCTCCTGTTAAATAAGCAAACGGAGGTGAATGACAGATTTGACTTCCTCTGTTGGACTTGCGTTGTTTCTGATATTGATAAATTGAATAGAATTAGCAGATTTCCTGCACTTAATGTTGGATGAAATACACTCTCCAGTAATACTGAGCGACATATTTAAGTTCAAAATCTCCCTTTGTGTGTTGAAGACAATTTGGAGAAGACTTTACAGGGAGAGCATATCATCATGGATGGAGACAACGTCACTTATGTGTGACCACAGGCGAAGGAGTCTAGTGCCACGGAACAAACTGCCGAATGGCTCCGCACTCGCCACCGGCGTAGACGTGTGGTAGTCGGTTGTGGAAGGTGCAGCTGAAAGCGTTGTGAAAGCCTGTGTGAATGATTTGGACGGGGATGATAACCGGCTTGGCCAGGAGATCACTGCAAAGGGAAACAAGAACAAAAACAGGAATGAAAAGTCGTAGACTAATGTAACCAACTTTGAAAACTGCGTTTCTAGCACATACTCGGACACCTTGCTGTGGATAATGAAGAGTGATCCATCATCTAGAGCGACAGCGACGAGGGGTCGACGGCTGTGGACTTGGACTTTGTGAACGGTTCCACGGTTCAACCTATAGTAAGCGCAGATGAAGGCATGTGCAAGCAACAGTCCTGTGTTGGATGGGACTGAGGGCTAGGACTAGGATCGCCTACCTCAGTTTTTTGAATGGAATATTTCCGAGTTCAACGTCAAACCAAATGAAACGGCTGTCGCTCGTCCCAGCAATAATGTGTTCACCTGGAAACATGTAGGAATATTAGGCTCACATTTATGTCAAGGATCCGGTGAGGGAAACAGTAAGCAAGATGTTAAGAACGTGGACCCATTTCTTATCATTTTCTAAATCTATAAAAGTGGTGAATCAGCTGCCTGAGAAAAGCTTCTTTTTAAATATGGTATCTTATTTCGCTTTGAAAACGGCACATAGATCCAGTCATTACATTAAAAAGAAACATCAAAGAGGAGAAGGGCCTACCGGTAGGATGGATCGCAAAAGAGACAATGTGATCGGAGGATAGATCCAGTTTGAGACGAGGCAACTCTTTTTGGGCAACAAGATCGAAAGTGTGGATATAGCGGGTAGCAGCGACAAAGAGAGTGGGCTGCCCGGCAGGATGGAAGGCGGCAGAGCGCCACTCTTCTGCCAGTCCACTAGTGGCCGCGGCGAAGGGCGCCTGGCTAGCCATACGTGAGATACGATGCAACAGCACCCGATTTGCCGCCCGGCTCCGTGCCTCACTAGACAGCGGTGAGATGCTCAGGCTCAGCAAGTAGTCGCCCTTCGGATGCCACGAGAGATCGATGCATTCCTGCCACGCGGACACAGGAACACACTACTTAGTAAGTCTTCATTCAGTCGATGATTTATCGCACTGAACAGACGATAAATTTATTCATTGATTGGTGATGTTCCACAACAAATGAAACTAATTCTTTATAGAGCTGTCCTCCCTGATTCTTAAATAATTTCTGCCTAGATAGCACCAAATGGTAGATAAACAACAACGACAATTCGAAATGGCTAAAACGGATTGGAACGGAATATCAGAAACGCTAAATTTGTCTCAGCCGACATTAATACAACAGTTACCACCTCCTTAACCAGCATTTCAGCTTCACAGTTAGATAGCTCTGACTCCAAGCTGCGCCACCAAGAAGAAGATCACGCAAAGTATCAAGCTATGCGTTTAGAAAAGATCAAAATGTAAACAAAAAATTATTTTTGAAATTCCAATTTCCTTACCTCTACCATACTATGCGTGTTCATGCATTCAAGTTTTACCGAAAATTACGCAAATTTGTAGCATAATAGGGTGAAAGACCTACACACCTCGAAAACCCCTTAACTAACTAGCGATTGGCTTGGACTACTTTGGGCACTTGGAAATGTCTACCTCCTACTCGTCACCAAAAAGCTAGAGGCTTACTGCAAGAAGATACTACGCAATAATGAAAATAATGTAAAGCATAGAAATGACACCAGCCTGATGCAATTCGATGGAGACTCGCGACAGTTCCAATAAACGTGATCGTTCTAGGAAGGTACTAGTAGCACATCTGCCTGCCGCACCGCCATCGTTAGTGCCACGAGATCCCCACCGAATAGTGGTTTTGGAAGCATCGAAAGCGGCATTAATGGTAGTGACATTGGCAGGGGCAGGTGGTTTAAAGCTCCACATCGCCACTTGGTTGCGCATCGCACTTGTCGTTCTCCGCCTCTTGGTTACCGGTGCTGCATATGTTTCCCCAGATTCCTCTTCGTCCTCGACATTGTCCAGGGCGTCTAGGTCGACTTTCTACAAAGTGGATAGGTAGCCGTTTTATAGACTATCGAAAATCTCCCAAGTGTCACTACCTCACCAGATCAACGTCAACTCAAAGCTAGAATGTGGGATGACATTTTGTCCACAAAAATCCAAATAATTCACTTAATTTGGGGGAAAGTTAATACAAGCCTCAAGATAGACAAAAGTTTACGAAACCATCCAGATAAGCATTCCATACACAATAAACTAAAAAGATAAACTACAAGGAACCCTTCATCATCCCTCGCCCTTGGGAGCATAATGAGTCGGCGCTTTGCCTTATCGATTCTGTGTAAACTAGTCAAATAAAGCACACTAAAAGGTTGCAACTCCGAGCCATATTACCCTGCCGAATGATTGTAGGAGTTCAGGCCAAAATTGTGAATATGCAAGGGAAAAAGGATTGCTTCCCAACTAGTGGAGAGCCCAATCTCATTGGGTCACCATGGAGTAAGATGATGGCCCTGCAATATGGATGTGAGATGTCGAGCACGATAGCTCTTGATCTGAACCAAAACAAGAACATTGACATTTGCGACACTGGAAAGAACAGGGTCAAAGTCATCCATCCCAAATTGGAGATGAGTGTGTGCTTTATGCGCTTTAAAAAGATAACATTTATTTGCTTAAATAACTTGCCTTAGATTCTTCTGCATCTACTAGGTGAGTCTGCCAGCATTCACATAGCATCTTATCCGTCTTCTCCACTACCACACGATCACCCAAGGCCGGGTTGATGATAAATATCTTGTTTCCACTATTAAAAGAAGAAAATTGAGAAATAAGAAATTGTAGACTTACAGAAACCTCGTAATCTTAGGGTTCCAAGTCGTTGTGATGAGATGGAAATGAGAGACCAAGGGCCCAAAAAAATTTCAACTCGGTTCTAGGGAAACACAAAGTCGGACCCATTAAACTTAAAACGGATAAAGAGTAGTTGCCCAAGTATGGGAGAGATGTGGCGCCCACGCTGAATTGGCTAAAGCCAATGCTTTTCGATGGCAGATAGCTTTATTCCCCATTCTCCCGATTTCCGAAATATCAGTCCACACTAAAAAAACTACCTTCCATGACCCTTGCAGAGTTCAATACGTAATGTGGAAGTGGAAACATAGACGGAAGAGGACAATGATTTATGAAAACATTAAGCAACAGAAGCTCAACACAATCTCAAAAAGGGAGTAAGCGGTGGATTCTTCTGGACTTATTTATGTGCGAATTCAAGGGTTAGACCACTGAGATGAATAAATTTTCAAATACCTATAAGACACAGCATCATATATCTGACGAGCTCGTACTTGTCTGTTTTCCAAGTTTGGTATCTTCCATGATCCCACTCTTGAGTATTGTGTGCTTTGACTAACATTTGCCTCTGCTTGGAGGCATTAAATGTGCTAATATCAACTGTATCCTTGGTCAATCGCGACAATAAACACTACACGTCGAATCCCAGCCATCCACAGCAGTTGCACATGTAATAACAGTACGGTGACATGAGGAAATACACTAACGGAATTTTGTGATGAGGAAAATACTGAAGCTTAAATAGGTGAATAGACGACCCATTCAACAAGGCGGACAACATGCCGAGATGGACCTACAAGGCGGCAGCAACTAGGCACAACTCAGGATTGGGATTCCACATGACATGAGCCGAAGATAGTTGCTCCTCGTCTGCATCCCCTGACTCCACTGTCTGCTCAGTTGGACGCTTCTGCATCAACAGACCTCCTGCTACCGGGACAGGAGTGGTACCATTTAAGAACGGGGCAGGAGCAAGCCGGTAGCATCGGAAGCAGTAGTTACTGGCCGTCTCCCAGATGCGCAGACACCCATCCGCCGGAGACACAGAAGCCAACCACTGGCCACAAGGTGAGACAGACAAGCCAGTGACCCGACCGCTGTGCGATCTAAGAAGGGTGAAAGAACAAAAATGTCAAAATTCCAAAGCTAAACATGACCCGCTTTAACTTCAAAAAAATTCACAGATTGACAGAGCAAAGAGAAATGAGGACAACTGGTAATATAAGTCACCAAACATATACACTTAGGAGTAAAACGTGAAGCATCAGAGCAAGCACTTCCGAATCGCACTTAATTGCGCAAGGCAGAGAGGTGGGACCTTTTACGGACAATGGATACTAAAAATAGATATCAATGCCAATGAGGTCATATAGGCTCCAAAAAATCTTTAAATTAAAAACAGTTTCAAAATGCGAATGAATACCCGATTGGGCTAAAATTACGCCTCCTCAAATAAAAACGGAACGGCCTCAACCATTGTTAGAAATAAATAAACTGGGACCGTTATCCACAGAATGCAGATTACAGAATACGCCAAAAAGATTATCAAGAACGAATAAAAGCAGTGAAAGGAGCCACACACCTGTACTGAAGACCCAGATGAGAGGGGTAGGGTCGAAGGTCAGCCAGACTGGGGATTTCGGGAAGAAGGGCCTCTGGAGTTGTGTGTACCTGCTGCTTCTCTATTCGCGCCGCCATGACTAGATCCTTGATGCGTTCCTCACGTTCCCGCAAATAGCGCTCCGAAAATGGGACATGACGTAGACATTCAAATCGTCGCGGCATGATGGGAAGAACATTGCTAGCCTGATTATCTTTCACTTTGTCCCTCCATGCCCTCATCACCTGTCGTTCCTGAGGGAAGGCAATACTTTGATAGAAAAATGGTACATAATGCGTGGATGAGGGATATCCACAGTTGCAATGCAATAGACTACAATCGATCCAATGTCTCTAAACCTCTCACAAGTCATTACTCAAAAGCAATAGTAACATTGAGTCCTCCATAGAGCATCAACGCACTAAGACATAGACTAAAAAACTTTCGTTCATTTCAAAGAGTAGTAAGGCAGAATTGATTTTGTGCAACTATTGCACAGGAAGCGAAATGTAGCGGACTAGCCACCTGCTGACTAGTGATTGATTCACATATGCAACAAACCGAGTAAACGCTATTTCCGTGATTAAAACCACCATGGCAGGGAGATAAGTCAAAACAGGGAAAAATGCACCCGTACTTGTGTCAAGCAGCAATTTAATCTTGGGTGATTTAAAAACTCGGAGGAATCATGTACACCAAAAGTATAAATGATAAAAGGTAGAAATAATGATTGAATCGGACCCAAAACCACAAAGCCAAACAATATCACGAGGCAATAAGTATAAGCGATAAAATTAGGCACCAAGTAGAACAGATGTTAGAGTAGATACTGCGCCCTTGAAAGCACGAGTTGCGGTGAGGAAACTTACTTCTTCCTCGGACAACAAGAATTCCGGTGGGGGGTTATAAGATTCTGCATGCCCAGGAAGAGGTTCCGCAGCCGGTCGCATGTACGGTCGTGGACGAGGCGGCCGGTAAGTCTGAAGACTAGCCGGTAGACCGGCCTGCCAGGCAAAGGAGTTCTGAACCGTATTTTCTTCATCCTGATCTGCCCATACATCTGGCATCACACAGGTTGATACTGAAGAGGCTGAAAATCCCAAAATGTCTCCTTCATCATAATCATCGAAGGCGCTTGGTTTGCCAGAGGTCATGTACATAGCATAGCGACGGACTTGATCAAGATCATTTACATTTTCCAACGCCCAATGTGGCAGCTGGGGTCGAATCCACCCCATTTTTATTGCATGTGTTATACGACCAACCTACAAGCATAAAAATTACGATACAGCCAACAGAATCGCTTACACGCGAGAAAAATTATTACCCTGCGTCTATCCAACAGAGAGGGAATAAACGATCTCTTCTGTGGAGGGTGCGCAGTGACAGGCATTTGAAGAACAGAGTTTGAAAAAAAATCTTCCCATGGCTGGAACATATCACCTTCCGTATCACCAAGCACACCCTTCCCCGCACTCATACGGGTAACAATTTCCAGATCGCGGTCGCTCAATATAACAGATTGGCCCGTTTTGGGGTCAACGATTGTTCGCCACTCTACATCTTGCTCACCATGTTCCGTGGACCCGGTTTTTAGAAAGTCTGAGATAGCATCAGCTGATTGCTGACCGACAGTGGGACGCATAATAGGGCGACCAGAGGCGTCATAGCCGACATGAGGAAAAGACTCGTACCATTGCATAGGAATATTCCCAACAGTGTTTCGTATGTCCTGATTTTGAAGACGTTACGACATATTAGAGATTACCTCTTCATCTGAGGAGTCGAAATCGTACTCGTCCCGCACGAGAGCAGACATCAATCACGACAATCTCACACTGGCGTGTGTACGCCTAAAGTGACCTTTGAGGGGACTCAGACAAAGCAACTGGTTTACGCAAATAACATTAGCTTAAACAGTAATATTACAATACCATAAATTTTTATTGTTAAAAAATTTTATTTAAATATAATCATACCTATAATATAAAATTTATTGTAAATAACTACAGCAAAAATTCATTTATATAAAATAATTTTAAACAAATTTTGTGTGGTTCATTGAAGTTAAGCTGGCCGTCTTGTTGTAATTCATGAATGGTGATTATATTTTCGCGTTCAAAATTGTTTTTACGCGACTATATGTAATGGGTGATTTCATCGACGCATCAACGCTTTATAACTTGCTAAACCAAGGGATCTTGACATCGTTTGCTTTTGATCCTTACAATGTCTTGCTTTTGGGTTTGTTGCTTCTAAATAACATCAGTAGATATACGTGAGAGGGAGAAATACGAGATTTCCCATATTTTACGTGCACTCCATTTGAAAGAGGTACATTCGTTTTAGTGAAGACATTGTAGGAAACGTCTGGTGAATTTTCCCTTCCTTACGATTGCCACCCTGAAATGCGGTGGCACGTGTGTATCTATGATGAAGATTCTGTTCATCTTGATATTTATGGGAGGTAGGCTGGAAATATCTTATCATCAAACATTGTATAGACTATCTAAGATAATTAAGTTTCTTACGATTAATCAAACATTCGCTACTGTGCGCATTTTAAGAGGTTGGTTTGGACCTTTATGTTTTAGTTACCCCTGAGGAGGTTTTCGACTTTTTACGAAGGATTACCCATTCATGTGCACGAAGAAGATTCTTTACCTTCAGAAGGTTTGATCTTTTCAAAACACATACAGTTAGGAACTTGAATCTTTTGAATTCTATCCGCTGGACATTGTGCATGGTTTTCTATATTTACTCTTGCCCATGCACACACTTTCGGAATCGGTTATCGAAAACCTTCATTTAACTGCAAAAATAGTTTGTTATCCTAAGATGCTTGAAAGGTACAATAACGTCCTCGTTTTGCAACTTATATGGATTGTACCACTAGCTTGGTACAGTCTACTGGACGACAAGCGATTGTTCCAAATAAGCTTTCCCTCTTTCTTGCCTCTTTGAATATATTCATACTTTTTGCATCAAGTCGGAATTACGAGTGCCAAACCAGACTTTCCGCATATCCTTTTTTAACAACTAGGTGATGCGAAGTCCAAGGTTTACTGATGTTTTGATACTATAAGACTGAACTTTTGTGAATTCAGTGGTGAAAGATCGGATAATAGGTGGCTGTATCGTAGCGCCTCTGAGCATATGTGAAATGATTTTGTTAGATGCGAAAGGTACAACGACAATTACACTTTTTTGTTTGAGAACCCTAGCTACGAACACATCTTTTCGGCCTCTTTCCCATTGATCGTACGCAATTCATTAAAATAGTATTGGCTTGGGAGGTCGCTGATCGACACAAGCACTTAAATTGATGAATCCTCAAAAATGGATGCAAGTTGCCCCAGCGACGCTTTTCATAAGACTCCTAGTTAACGTTTTCGTTCTTTTAACTTTTACCACCCTAAAGTTGTTGATCCATTTCTGCATTGAAGTGAGTAAATATCTAATCGAAACGTTATCCTGAACAAGCAAATGCTGAACCTGGCTCCCATTGGCCTTAACCACTGTGTCAACGATAATATTCATAAATAATTATCAACCCATGAGGTGCACATAAAGGTTTACTCATTGTTTTATATATTTGTGTTGTGGTTTTCAATTTGACATAAAAAGGAAAATTTTTACTTAGTAAACTTGCTTACTTACTTCTTTAGAAATGAACCAGGGGAGTCACTTGAAGCCTTTTATGCGGATATTTATCCAATTCGTCCCAAGTCGTTGGATAAGTTATTTGACGATGCGTTTGATTTTATGTGTATGCGTGAGAATTTATTGTCATTCTCCTTAAGTACGGTTTAGCCTTGCTTAACCTCTAGGTCGTTCATCTACAAATTTGAAGACCATTTTCGTACCCATGACTGTATTCTATGCACTTAGGCCACCAAATCTCTCCCCATAAATACCGTACATCACTTGATACCAAACCTGTCAGATGAATGTACGGAACTCGGTCATGAAATTTTTCTTGCTTATTTGAGGCCGTGCAGCTGTCATCGTTACAGGACTTTTTAATAACTAGAACAGTAAACACCCAGACAAAAGTTGTGCTCGTTCAAATTTCATGCTGCTGTTTCTGGGTCTACTAAACATTTGCACTTGAATGAACTGTTCGATCCTCATTAGTTTAGGCATCGAATAGAAGAAAAGGGTTATTATTCTTTAAACTACTTTTAAAATGATACTTCTACAAGCCTTGTGCTAAGAGGTTTTTCTGCTTCTCAGTAACCCAACAGAATCGTGGAGGTCGGGTGGTTATAGTGACAAATGAGTACAACAGAGTAGGATCAACATTGGCGATGGCATACCTCATTGCAGGCAAAGGTTTAAGTTTAAAGGTAAGGTTCACATGCATTCCACTCCACTTCCGGCTGTCTCGCAAATTAAGGTAATTTCTCATAGCCTTAAAATCTCATCTCTTCGATACGGGCAAAGAAAGACTAAGCCACTTCAAGAGATTGGGCATTAGTGAATGGTGTAGAGGCTTGTCACTAGTTGGCAGACCAAGTTCCTTAAGGCACCGGAACGTAGTCATGTCCAAAGATCAGATGTTTGAGAGTTATAAATGTTAGTGAAGGACTTAGACACTGAGTAGGGACTTAAGCTCGATGTTCCAAGGGACAAACTCAGTGACTGTATGATCCACCTACTCTATTGCCATAGGAAGCTTGGGCTGCTTTGCGGAAGGCATACCTAGCACTCCGTCCGAGATGGGAGTTCCTCGACCGGTTGGCAGTATTTGAACAAAAGGTAAGAAATCTACCCAATCCCGAGGGGATCGCCGACTCGGAGTTCCTCTAAGCCTCACAACGAGAACAGAAACTTGCATGGCTCAGCCCCACGTATCGCACCCCCCTTAAACGACCAGAACTCGACATTCCACGCTTCGACGAATTGTACTGATAATAGCCAGTAACAGAGCAGAGTAAAGCTCTAGACAGCACTATCAACTCAGACTTATTACCAGCAAGCATCGATTTGGGCACCAAATTCCACTCCCAAACTCCGTTACCGGTTTAAATACTAGTAGAGTTGACCAACGAGAAAACCACAACATGATGAATTTCAAAATTGGAACGTAGTCTTGAAAACCAAGGTGGTGTGGCGATATACAATAGTTGGTACATAGACAAACAGCAGAGGGCCCAGGGACCGGCGGAATTTCGAGTCGTTGATACAAAAACGAAGTTACGAATTCACCTCCTCGGCCTTCGACTTCGCGGGGTCTTCGAGATCCGGAAGTTCTAAAGTGTGGGTTAGTCCAAATGAGGAATTTCTACCATCATCATCCGAATCCTCCTCATCATCCTCGTCCCCCAAATCCTTGTTACCCATCATTGAGAGCATATCTTGGAAGTTTCCACCGGATCCACCAAAACCACCAAATCCACCCTCACCATCCGAATCCGATTCGTCCAAGTCCTTCCATCTGCTAAAATCCGTTTTTAACCAAGGTTGCTTTGATGAGTCCTTAAGGAGCCGAGGCCACACGCTAGACTCCTTCTTCTCAACGCAATATGTTATAACGCGGTCACCAATTTGCCTAACCGCCTTACTAGGATCAACTTCAGAGTAAAAGTCAAACGTGAGCTCGTAATTCGTGGGCGTTGGAGCGTCTACCCTCCCCCTAAAAGCAAGGTTAGATCGATTTCGTGAACGCACTTAAAGTGGAAAGATCCGGGTTTAATATCGATCGCCTCATCCTTAACATCAGAAAGAGCAATTGTCAGATAGACGCAGTTGGATCGCTGTGCCCAAAGGATTTCCGGATGACGTCTAGAAACCTACCAAGTATAAACACGCACTTACGAAGCGCTAGCGACGTCGCCCGACATGGTTGCGAAGATTGACGGATAAGTGCGATAGGTTGATTCTAGAAAGTCTGGAGTATATTAAAACAAAATTTCGAAGTACGGAATCAATCTTGTAGTGATGTATGAGGATACCGAGAAGTTTTACCACTTATCATACAACAGATCTTGAAAAAAATAAATAGCGCGACCATAATCAGGTGTCTGGTGACTTTATCTTCACTCGGTAATATTTTTCCTTAATGTTGCAACCTAGGAAAAAAACTGGCTGCGTTTGTAGCCGTAGAAAAATAATTCTGTTGAAAATTTATGTGCATAATTAGATTACGGAGACCTGCCCAGGCGCTAACACTCACCTTAACCTTTAAACATCGAGGATGTCAAACACCACACTTTGACTTTTCAAGGGGCTTGATCTCAACAAAACCAAGCGATTATTCACCAATAGAAATGATCAGTTCACAAACCGAACAAGGAGCATTCCAATGGAAATTCTACAATCGCAAAAAGTTGACTTACTGTGGCAGAGCAATTGCCGACACACCTCGCATGTTTATTTAACCAATTTCTTACAATTACGGCACTGTCGAAGGATATTAAATATTTTACTATCATCTATTAATATCCGTTTTCTATGTGATACCTGTATACTTTGTTTATGTGACCACATGACGCTTGGCGATCACTTTAAGATATCTCTTGTCCTTTTGCGCTTGGGCTGGCTTTCGGGTCATGTGCAGGTTATTTGCCCTGTCGCCTTCGGAATACATGTATCCAGCTGCACATACTGACTTCCTATACCGGACTGGACATCTCGAGACGCTACAGTACCAAGTCGTAACGGGTACTTTGTGCCACGATATTTGCGTTGAGAAAAAATAGTGACTTGGTGTTCTGTGTGTGACGTTCTAAGGCTTCCCATTGTGTAGTAAAAGACATTAAACCAAATGGATACGAATGTGATTTCCTACCATACGGGTCATCTTATGAACAGAGAACTTTATTATGGCTCTTCACGCTAGATGCTAAAATACTTTAGCGCAAATTATTATGGGTCGGCACAGGATTGGTATTCCGAGAGGGGATAACTGTGTCGCCAGTGCTGTGTAGAGGGTAAAAACATGCGTTTAAGCTACAATAAAGTAGTGAAAACGTACTTAAATAACTTCCGTTCTATGGCGGGACGCTTTGTCTGCTGTTTAAGGTGATGATTGTTTGCGGCTTCCAAAAATCATATGGATTTACCTCCACTGCATCATTATGGCCGCTTACATCTACCCAGAGAGGACAAGAATATAGGGCTTTGGCTTGGCTTTAAGTCCAACTCACAAAGACAAGGACGAAGTGAATACTAAAGCGACGGCCGCTCACAAAGTTAGTCAAATAATTCGGTATTATGTTTCACCCCCCTTTTTTAAGTGCCTTCTTAAAGCCAATCCCTCAGTAGGCCTCTCGCTTTGGTCATCACAGCATATTCGGAACTGTAGAGAAGCATGAGGGATTGTGCTTGACATTCTCAGAAGCATTAGCTAAATTTAGAGTCAATTTCGGTCCATAAGCAGGAATTAGAGCATATGATTTCATTGACCTTCAGTTGGGTTTAGGGAGAGACATCGAAGTACCGATCTAAAAGAGGTATGTGACAGAGAAAACGAGACCAAGCACAGTTTTGTGGGGAAAGGATTCACCGCGATACCATTGTCGGCATCTGTATGCGAATCCGGTAAGGGAATGCCGAAAAGGAGTTTTTCCAGATAATTATGGTCGTTTGGCTTCTGTTAGTAATAGTTTGTCAGTGGAATTTGGTGGACGCCAAATGCTGACGTCGTTCTCAATCCAGAAGTTAAGAATTGTCCTGCCCGAAGAATGCACTTCATTCACATCGTAGAATTCGGCCGCAAACGGTGCAAATCAGTATTTGAGTCTAGATATAGCAAAATCAGCTTTCCACTGCCACCAATGCAGCGTCCCGATACGCCTAATGTGGACAAGATGAATGCCAAAGTGACCGCTAGACCTTTAGGTAGTAAAATAAACAAAGAATTGCAGGCACGGAAAGTATACAAACTTGACCTTCTTTATTCGAGTAGGACGTAGTACTTTCGGTTAATTTTACCAGATCAACACGAGCATTTCCATCGTGCTCTCTTCAACTGGAAGTGTAACGCCCTAGGACTTTCCACTAAGTAGAAGAAGGCATTAAATGGGAGAATGACTCGAGCTTTGTCTTGACCCAGGGGCCAACTCAGCCAAGAGCAAATGCGAGTCGATCATAGTAGTAATTGCATAAACAGGGTACTATCTTAGGTTTTCTTCGAGGCGAATTACTCAAGGTATAGAATGAAGCGCACCCGATAGCGCGAAATGCATATCGTTTAAAACAAATGGAATAAGCAGTCACGGCGCAGCGTTCAAACACTTCTTTATAGATAGCATAAGGTACCGTATTTATGTTAAGCTCATAATTTAGGCAAAAGGGAAGGGCAGTGATCTAAAGCGCCCATACACTCAGCGTCTCGAGATCTCCCACCGAATAGGAGAAGCAGTAAGTGGGGGCAAGCGCATGTATTCCAGAGATAACAAAGTACCTAGATCTGAGTATGGCCCGAAGGCTAGCCCACGCATTCAATGTCATACCATTCTTAAAGTGACTGCAGACATCAGTGGGAAGCCTCGGGTCGCTACAGTATGGGCATGAATAAGACGGCGGAGGAATGGCCCTCGAGAGCTCCATGCTCATATAAGAGCGATTCAAACACCTTAGCATATATATATTACAGTACTCTTACCTTGCTTACTTGACAGCACGTATATGCAGGGATCAGCTCGGCAGCTATCTTCCTTCCCTTGAATCCAGGTATTCGGCCAAGATCCATGCCTTCTATTGCCAATTTCTCAATTCCGGGCAGTTATAATAGTGGCCTCATTAACTGTGATAAGGCAAAATCCCCACTTCTAGAGTAAACACAGTTTCGAATGGCTAAATGAAGATCCGCGTCCAATGGCAATTGCTAGAACCATATGTCACTAAAGGTAAATCTTCAAAAACTTAATCAAAAGTTAAATCCTTAAATTATAAAATTTTAAAAATGACAAAGATATTGGAAAGTAAAAACGAAAATTCAGATACATTTTATTCAGCTTTGTTTGAGCTGATCTAATCCTTTGTTATAACGTATGCCTATCCGGACTTCTCGCGAGTATTTTGGTTGAGTTCGCAATCTTTAGTTTATTTGCTTTGTACATACTGTACATACTATGACGAAAAGTGAACAGGTTATCAAACAGAATTTTTCGAAAACTAATGGGACTCCGAGCGCCGCGAAAGTGGGCTCGAATGCGCCGAAGGCAACTTTAGAACAGCTAAATCTTGCTAGGTTGCTCACAACAAATTCCGACGATAGGGATAGGCAGTTCAAACTGGAACAGGTGATGCTATTTTACATTACTTACCTCTTCAGATTCAAGAGTGTACAGAATGTGATCTGGAAGAGGCCGTTTTGGCCTTACACGACGCGGATGGTAACGTCCAGCGGGCGATTGAGAATCTGATTGATGCGAAGCGCGAAAACGACTGGCAGGATACGTTCACGAAGCGATCGAAGTCCAAGCGTCACGGAGCGCAGGTACTTATGTTTTGACTTTCATTTTCTAGAAGTCTAAGTTACCTACCGTCGTGTCTGTTCGGCCTAAGGGAGGTTCTTCTTCATCATTGAGTGATGGAAATGCTAACATGCTTTCGGATAACGTGGAGCAGGTAGTTTAGACTTTCGGACATGCTTTTAGAAATCCTTAAAAATGCCTAACGGGAAAAAGAGCATTAAGCAAGCTGCTAATGGTCAGAGTAGGAATGGTCCTTCAAACGAAGCCCATGGAAATAGGAAGGCGTCTCACTCGGAATCAACTCATGTTGAAGGTAACGTTGTGTTCATGTGTGCTCTGGCCATATGTTTTGGCTTTTTTAGTGATCTGTTCGTTTTAGGCTGGGGCATTGAATGTGGGGAGTGGAAAGGTGAGGCGATAGAGGTTGTCAATTCGGCTGTCAACATACCCATCAATATCCATGATGACACAGAGCTTTTAAAGCTTCTGACTTTGGAATCGGTGGAAACTGAGAAAAGGTAGGTTTTCGTGATTGTATTTATCCCCTTCTAGTGATGAGACAGTGGAACAGGCTGAGGTGGTTAAGGACGTGGAGGTTAAATCCGCAGAGCTGAAGGATGTTAAGAAAGCGCCATCTAAACCACAATCAGAGGACCAAGTGAAAATTGTCAGGGATAGGCTGTTCAAGAAATACGCGAGAAGCCTTACTCCTCCGCCATCTCACGTTCCTAGCACTCCGGTCTTTTTTGCACCTGGAGCTAGAAATACTGCTCTAATTGAGAATGTTCCTGTTCCCGAGGGTGGAACTATCCAGATTCAGGCGATTAATCGTGATAGGAGTTCTGGTTCGGACGCCAGAGTGGACCGAGATGCGGATCTTCCGAGGTCGGGTCAAATTTCCAAGGGGAAATCCTTGAACAATGAGAATAGTTTTGATTCGCATGACCACATTAAATCCCCAAGTCAGTGCAATTTCTCGCCTGCAGTGAACACTCTTCTCCATTCGGTTCGCAACGTACAGCCAAATTTGCAAATCGATCAGACTTATGCCACGTCGTTGCAGAACACTTCGGCTCACAAGGAACCTTACGCGAAGGTTCAGGATCATGGCTCGCCTCATAGTCGTACACAGGCTCATTCTGTGAATAACTTTGAGGGTTCCAAGTCTTATAGCTACAATTTGTTGGGTGATTTGCCTCCAACGGTCAAGCAAGTGAGCCTGGAGTTGCAGGTCGGGAAATCGGATGCCTTCACGCAATCTATCTCCTCGACTCAGTCGGAGAATGTCGTGTCAGCACCTTATAACATGCAGACAACTAAACAGTCTGTGGGTCAGCCGCCTCAAATGAACAAGCCGATCTCTACCATGCCCCCGAACGCGAATCAGCAGTCGCTTCCGACAAACCAACCTCAGCTCCATCATGTCATGCACCCCGCCTTCCCAACACTCCTTAGTCACTTGCAGCCAAACATGTCCCTCTTTAACTTTCCCGGTGGTTCGGGTCCAGCTGCGCCCCCTCACCTGTTCGACATGGATCATTTTCAAGCTTTACAGCAGCAACAGCGAATGTTGTTTGAGATGCAACAGTCTCAACACCCACCTCAGCACACCCAGACCGTCGCTAACGAGAACAACCTCCCTAATTCAGCTGCTGATGTTATTTCATCGACCAAATCCACCGTTCCCATGCACCAAGTGACCACGGCTAACGTTGGTTCTGGCATCACATTTTTGCCATATTCTGGTGGCATGGTCTTTATGGTAGGAGTTCCCTTTGTTTATCTCATTTTTCTAGAATGGTTACCCCAATGCTTACCTGGGCCAGCAACAGCCTCAGACTGGTGGTTCTCAGAATCAAAGCCCGGGTCATGGAGGCTCTCCTCTATCTCACCCATCAAGTCAGCAGCAGTATCCGAAGTCGATGAATGCACCCGTAAATTATGCTGGTTACCAAGGCTTGAGGCAATCTAGTTTTGAAGATGTTGGGGATATACTTTACTCAAACTTAGCCAAACAAAGTGAGTTTCGGGTGTTGAAATGCCTTAGTTTTGAGGTTTTCTTCCTAATCTACTCACTGGAACCTTGTTTTACCGTTTTAAGCTCTTACTATAGGCGGTCTATTATCTGTGGTAACAGAATCGACCTCGATTTGGTTGCAGAGAATTGTGTGGTTTGTGTGCTCAATAGGCTCACTTCTCTTGACTATGTTCTTCCATTTTGATCCTTTCATTCGTGTTAAGTACGGGATGATGGAAATTGCTTTTTAGTGGCGTACAAACACACAAGTGGCGTTCAGAGTTTTTATAACCCACCAATGCAGCAGCCTTCGAAGGCAGGTAGTGGACCCGATTTGTCGTTGGGTGGTAAGCTTCAACAGCAAGCTCCCGGACTGCCATCAGCACAACAACCGCAGGTACCGAATGCTGCACCTGGTGTGCAGCCTCAAGCCTTGTATACACCGCAAGCACCGGGTCAATATCCGTTCTTTAGTCAACCTTGTATGGCTATGGCTGCAGCAGCGGCCGCAGCTCAAAATCAGCAGCAGTCTCAGGGGCCGCCTCCCCCTGGTACCCCAGGGTCTAACGGCGTGGTACCAATGCATACGAGGCCAACACACTAAACGTCTGGGATGGCCGTACATTCTTCCCTCCATACCCACCTTATCCCCCTTGTAAAAATGCCTTCTTTGCCCACTGGCTTATTTGTGACGCACTCACACCCATATTGTAACGCGCTTTCAAGGTTATGTGTGCGTGCTTGTCTGGTTTGTTGGTTCCTACTTCCTCCTGCCCTTTCCTTTTCCTAATCCTAAGCTCCTTTTGGTGCTGTTTCAATGTGCTGCATTGAAACTGCAGGTCTGTAGTTGGGATGTTTTTATAAACTCTCAGTTAAACGCTATGTTCATACGCATGCATACTGTATCATCCATACACCTCATGCACCCGAGAAATATACTTCAAGAAAATTCTACTGCAAGTGAAGTGCTTCGTTCTTTTATAGATGAACTTTTGGTGTTTGATGGTGCTGTTTCGATTCTTCAGTGCCGATTTAAAGTGATGCATGCGAGAGTTGTTCGATGGTGTAATGGGTGAATGCCATCCTGGCACCAAGGTTGAGGTCATTGCATCTGCTTTTAGGATCGTTGGTGCCCGTACGTCTTCGATCTGGGCTTTTACGATCCGCTAAAGTCGGGGAGCATAGATGGCATAGTGGGACACGATATCCCACCCCACGATAGAGCAGTTTGTAGCGCTCAATCTTTGCGCTATCGTCCATCGAAGGGTGCCTTCTCAGAAAACATCTTCAAACTCTGGAAAAATGAGGATGTCATTGAAGTAAGCATCAGAAATGTGGTTGGCTGCATGCCAGGCGTGGTGCCCTTTATAAGGAATACATGCCCAAACTGGCTGGATTGCGATACTTCGGGTGATTTTTTAGTGAGGTCAACCAAATAATTTTCGAGGTAAATATATGCATGCTTCCCAAGCAGACGCTCGGGAAGCTGCCATCTCGTTCTCAAGTGACGGTGCTTTTTACATTACGCATCGTATGCACCATTATCAGCTTCAGTTGGATCTCAAGAGACCACGTTGTAATATCGTTGAAGGGATTGAGGGGTGCGCCGCTTATGATACTTCAATTCGGTCTTTATGCTAATAAAGAATTTATGCATATAAACGAACGCACTACGCAGATTCTCTCACAATGGTTATTTCTCTCATAGCTGGCACGCTTAAAGCAGGCAAGGTGTTGGAAGTTACTTGAATACACTTGAACTTTAATGCCTTTGTCATCTTAAACCATTTCACGGTGCCATTCCTCAAGTCTTCAAGTGCCCCTTCAATGGCGCCTCTGTTCCCCTTAATTCCTTTCATCCTTTCTAACTTTTTGCTTGTTTGTGGATTTGTTACTTTATTAATGTCAGCACCATCGTCTCTACCTCTTCAGCAAGAAAGACTGGGATTTTTTCACCCAATTTTCGAGCCCGTCCGATTAAAATTGCTTGTAGCAGCGTTCACTTGGCTGCCGAAATGATGCAACACAATGTAGAGTGAACTTCAAATACACTTCTTAGAATTGTGTCAGAAACAGGCTTCTTTGCTGATTATGTATGTGGTTTTCGTTCTCTGCCCCATCATCAAAGGGCGCAAAACCTGGCTCGCAAAGCAACACATGCTCTTTGCATTATAAACTAGGCACCAATCACTTTTAAAGTCTACATTTCGAACAGGCTGGGTCTCAGCTTAACATTAGCAAGTAACGTGTTTGCTGTATCGTGAGTATCGGCAGCCGGTGCAGGCCTTCCAGACGCCGTTAATTTGGATGGAAGGCAACAACAGTGCCTATAGGCTGATAACACTGCGTGTTGATAAGATTTCTCATTAAAGGAAGCCGACGCTTACAATCTAACTCTCTCCAACATTCATTTGCATCCTCGAAACACTTCATTTATACTGTGGCACAATGCTAGAACGCTAAATTGCTCGACACCGAAACACTTGAATAGCATGCACCTTCCAAACACGGTCAGTCATATCTGTGCATTCGGAATCAGTTGCGTCACTGAGTTGAGGCGAAGACTTCGGTGAAAGCGGTGAGAGTAGTCAACCTGCATCGAGTGTCAAGCGCTTAAATATCCTTGCGCATGACAATGGCAAGGTGGAGCAGGTTGTTCAACCAAACTGATAAATTTCTCACATTCATGCTCCTCACATGTTGCGTAGTTGAGAAATAAAGGCAGTAGAGGACTCTCCGAAGAAATGCATTTCCTAATTTAGTTTTGCCCTTCTGTTTCTGTTCAATCCGAACACTCACCATACTGACAAAGTCTTTTAAACGCAGGTCTCACTCTTTATCGGACGCCTCCATCCAAGCGTGAAATACGAGGAACTGCGTTCTGCGTTTTCCCGTCTTCTTGCCGAGATAAAGAGAGCCGAGGCTGAGGTTGAGCAGCGTCGAAGCCGACGACATCACAACCGTCATTACAATCGTGATCGTTCCCCATGGCAGCGAGAGAACAGTGGCGGCAGTAGCGCTTCCCTCTGGCCCCTAGTGAGGGTGGTAAAGCATCCTATTACTGGTGTATCAAGGGGCTATGCTTTTGCCTGGTTCGAATCCCCTCGAGATGCCCGTCGTGTGCTAGACACATGGCGGGCCTCGTCCAGTCTCTTCTGTCCCAAGCGCTTCGCTCCCGGCGATGGAATAAAGGTCGATTTGGCTCAAATTTTTGGGGATATGCCATGCTGGGAACAGGTAGGCACTTGCTTTTTTGGTTTCGTATCCCCAAAATTCCTCCTTTTGAAGGAGGAGCTTTTGTTGTGTTGATTAAAGACTAAGAACTGCGACTTTTTGTCTATCTAAATTCATCTCTCGTAGCTTCATTTGCTGCCATCGCTTTGGAGTGGACTGAATTTTCCACAGTTAGCTCATCAGAGCATGTCAGCAAGTCATTCCGTCATGAGTTTACCGTGAAACGATGAACCCCATAATCATTCTAAGTAGGTATGAATTGGTAAGGGCTGCCAGGTTTAACTACTTAGACAAGCCAATCACAATCCACTCGTTCTTAAATTCTCAACACTCCATGGACCACTCAACGTTAGAGTATTACATTGGTCGCAGTTTTGCACTATTCAGCCTCTAGAGCACACCACACCCTTCAATGGTCTTATCTTGGCTATAGTTTCCTACATTCGTGTATCGGCACTCAAATCACTTAGAGGTTATTTTATGAGATCTTTTCGAGGTGGTATAATGTTGTCTAACAACCATGGAGTCTGAGGGGCTGGAGCTTATCACAAATTGGAGGAGAGGGAGAGCTGTGAAGCTAGCCTGCGAATATCGCATTCGTAATCTTTCTTCTGAGGCAAGACATAAGAAGATCCTATCTCTTTTTGCAATTTGTGTATGCAATTTCGACTCATTCTGGTGGATCATAAAAGTGTTTTACGGCTTCCGAGGACTCTCCAGGAGGTGGGGACATCCGTTGAACCAATTGAGGCTTAATGGGAACATGTGACTGGCCAAAACCCGTTCACACATAAACAGCCTCGAAATCAAAGAATTTGAGTCCTTTGTAGAAAGAAAGTGATGATGGACAAAGGGCAATGGCTTAGCTTTCCTTGTCTGACTACTGATTGGTAGGTGTCCTGAATTAATTATATTAAGGAAACGGAGCCGCAAAAGCAGAGGATTGACTTCTCTTGCAGTCAATCAGGATCGTTGTATGTAGTGGCGCGTGTGGTGCTCTTCACACCACATGCTCTCGTTCACACGTGCCTTGCAGATCAATAGGCTCGAGTAGGTTTTCAATGCTCGCCACTTGAGGCTCTGACGACGATCTTTGTAAACTCTACCTGTTATTTTTTTCGGCGATGCTAAAGGCGTTGTAGTGAATCAAGTTTTAAATAAAATGAACTCCTATTTCAGGACCTATTTCGAATTATGGCCTAATCGGCGATGCCACTGTTGCATGATATGTTACTGTTACGCTTTGGCTACCGTCGTCCAAAGTACTACAACGGTTGACATGTATTTGCAGATTCTCGTTCTAAAGGGGAAAATCATGTCAAGTGTTAGGATTTGGCGTGCAATATTTTTGATGAGTAATGCATCAGAATAAGTGGACATCTTGACAGTTGAAACTATCACGGAACGGCGCGATTATGGTCTTTCCTCTCGCAGAACGGCAGAGTTCAACTCTTGACGTATGTGATACTCAACTTTTAAAGATGTAATTTCATACGTGATTTCGGCGGAAGGGAGAGCTAGCCTTGTTTTGCTCCAACACCTCCTGTGGTCACTTACGCCTTGACCATAATTGGCTTAACTATCAATCAAAATTGACATCGAGCTATCAACCATAGTTTTTGGCTCTGGTGGTCTTGTGGTCCTCTTCGGTACTTTGAGGTGATTTCGAGGTCTGTCAGTATCCGATTCAAAGTCGGCTCCTGATCAGCAATGAGGTATGCTGATCTGGAATTTACTTCATTCTCGGTCTGCAGAGGATTCTGGGGAAACTGGTAGCACTAAGTTTGGCTGACTAGGGTTAAATTTGTGAGACGTGAGATCCAGTAAAAGTTGAAGGTTTCTTTGTGTAAATATACATCACTTTTAGCTTATCGTGGAGCCCTCCTTCAGCAGGAGCCTACCAGGCTGGAAGCCACGTCGTCTGGGCGGTGGACTAGGCGGCATGAAGGAATCTGGGCAATTACGTTTCGGTGGTATTGCACGGCCCTTTCGACGGCCCTTCAGAAGTTTTCGTGATGGGGAGGGTTGAAGTTACTTAAACAGAGTGGGTTGCACGTATGTCCTCTACTTATTACGCTCTGTTCTTTTTTTACTGTGATCTTTACGTATGAATATAGTGTTTGCTCTTTTATCGTGGGGCTCTCTTTTAAGGTTATATTTCACGCACTGAAAAGTGCGAGGTTCTTTGCTAAGGTATTGCTGTTGAACCTAGGCATATCATTCTGCCTTCCTCAAGTTGAACGCAGAATTCACTAGATAGTTATTGAATGTAAAGGCAGAATGACTGAGACAAAATTAGAGTTGCCGGTGGGCCTAGGTTCTCTTAATTGTAATTTTGTGGGAAATCAGTGAAACTAAGAGATCTCAGGCCCGTAATTTTCTTAGACACACTTTTGAGTGTGTGGTGCTTCTTGATTTGCTTAGAAAAGGACGGCGTCCCATTTCTCTCAATTTATCAATTCACATTGGCTCCGTTCTGTTCATCCGTACTGTCTGGCACGCATCTTCCAGTGGCCAAGTAAAATTTTGTTACACTAAACAGTCCTAGAAGCCCAAAATCCGGAGTAAGGTTTTTGTCTGGTAATTCAGACTGGTCGTGATTTTTGTATTTCAATAGGGACATAGAAGGAGAGCTCTTGCATCTTGCATGCTTCTTCAGAAATCTCTCATACGCTGTAAAACTGCGCAGCTTTGACCCCATCACTTGGTGTCAGTGGCACAAAGAAAGTTGAATGATTGTATCAAGACATTTAGACTTTGAACCTCATGCTTCATGCTGCGCTTGATTCAAAAAAGCTCATTTTCTTTGCTAAGAGATGAACATAAAATTTACGCCAATGGTGCTACTTTATCGAAAAGTGAAGCTGTGATAGTCAACTCTTTCACAATAGCTTGTGCTCTCAATGGTAAGGTAAAGGGTGTTGTAAGTTGACTTGCACCCGTCTCGACAATGACAGTAGGCCCTCCATCTATAGTGGTGGTAGCCACATTATGGGCAATAATTTATGCTCGCACCTCGAATATGATGTCTGCGATAGGCGGAATTCCCTCATACTTTAGTGCGAAGTTATTAGAAAAACCAGACGCGCTTGCTGTCTAGCCCTTAATTACTATGACGCTGGGTTGAAGTGACAGACACAAACAAATCGAAATCTCACAACTTTTATCCACTTGTGGAAACAAGCCGATAGTAACACTTTCTCCAACCGTCCTGTAGCTGCTGTAGCTTCGTCGTCATTTATTCCACCGTACCGCCACCATTCAAGGTTCATTGTTCTCTGATGCTCCGTAGATGGCCTAGAAGTGGTATCAGAAAGGTGTTTTTTTAGGCATTGACATCTTAATTTGAGTTTTCACAGAATCGTTTAGCTGTGATGGAGCAACATGACTTTATGTTGTGCGCACAGCTCGCCACACTGCCTCCAGGCCCAATTCAGGAATCGTGAAAGAACCATTGCCGTTCTCAACCATTTAATAAACTATAGTGCAAATAAGTCATTCTAAGCACTCTAACACGCTTTAAGTCGCTTGCAGTTGTGACGAAACAGCTCAACCTCTCGAGTAAGTCATTAGTTGTTTAATGAAGGGCTTTAAAAGTCCAAATTAGCTCTTACGACTCATTTGGAGTTGAAGTACAACACCGCCTCTCTCTCTCCGTTTTCACAGATCATTCTGTGCTTTTAAACAACAATCATCATCACCACCCAACTTCACATTTATGATCTGCCTCATCCCCATTAAAACGCCCTTTAAGGTTTCCATTGTGGTCAGACTACAGTCCTTAAATGTGATTACTCATAACAAAATCCTTGGTGTTTTCAGTTCACGATCAAGTGAAAGCGTAAGACAGCCTCAACTCATCTCTTGTTTCGCAAATAAGAGAAGGAACAAACTTGATGCGATTCAAATGCTTTCACAATGTAGCGATACGATACAGTACTTACTGCCGAGGTTTGAGCAGTACAATCAAAAGTAGGGAGCGATAACAGAGTGGGAAGGTGGAAGAGAATGAGAGGGTAGTGGAGACGGGAGGAACAGGTTTACGTTTTTGAAATTCGAAATAACGAGTACACACATACAGCCGTCGAATAGTATAAAAGGGTGGTAGCAACAGAAGTACATTTCAACTGATTGTTTGACTGATTGATTGGTTGATCGAGGAGAGTGTGGACGACAAAAGCTAGTTAGTGATGATGGAGGATTGTAAACTTAGTAGGGAAGCGGATCATCAGGACCTACAAGAGGCAAGTAGAGAGTTTGTAGACGAATGCTAAAACGTCGGCCAACGGCTGTAACTTGCAACAGTGTACAATACACTGTTTTATAGGATCGACCAGTTCTTAAGAATTATTGTTGCAATGATCCAATTGGTCTACAAGTACGCCTTATCTACGCCTTACTAATGAGTTCAAATAGATTCTGATGTCAGCAGTAAAATCATTCACATATAGGCAACATGTCCATAGGCGGTAACCGTCAACTCGGCGTCATAAATTTACTACGGCATTTGCTGCGCGCCCCAACCGCGCTACGTTCCAAATCATTAATAAACCCTTGAAGTTTATAGGATAAAAAATGTAGTTTTGGAGATAGTAAGGCAATTACCATAGCTCTGAAGAGCACTGGGGATCAAAGACGAGTGTTTGGGGGAGAATAGAGGTGTTGCAGTGTCGCGAGCCAGAGCCGGCTTTCTACCGACGATGCCGGAGTTGCTGCTGTCATTTGTTGGAACAGCATTTTTAGATGGTGAACTATGGGGAGACAGAGAGGAAGGAGAGAATCGAGGATAGTGATGAAGGAGGGACCAGCGGTTTTGGCACTCTGGGGACGTCGACTCCGTCCAGTCTGGGCTGCGCACGCTTTGCTATGGGTCGTAAAATCCGTTGAAATGCAGTGGGCTTAACTAATAATAAAGTAGCAGAACTTACCTCAGTGGGAGAAGGACGATGAGGTTGTGACATAGTTCGGCAATAATTCGAAGAGGCAGAAACGCGGGCATCTACGAGAATAAAATTCAAATCAAACATTCGTGATAAATCATGCAGAGGACGAGTGGCGTACCGTGAAAGGCGTCCACTAATGGGTGCGGGCCGGCAGGATAGAAGGCGGAATTCCTTGATATGGGAAGTGAAGGTGCACTTGTGGTAGAGCGAGAAGTTGAGTTGGGCAACACCTCACCGGTTGACTTTAAGCCTGGACAGAAACAATGAGATATACATGAACGTAAGTCTGCAAGTCAAAAGGATGTTATGCTGATTAAACCAGGTTGCCAAGCCAGTTGATACCTGTAATTGCCCCACGAAGACCTGAGAGAGGGACATGGAAGGGTGATCGGGGATGGGGGAAAAATGCAGGTAGGAGTGTTTGCGATGCAACTGACTCTGCATTGCCCCTCAGAGATCCGCTTATGGACTTGGATTCTATAAATATCAAAATATCTTATGGTATCTACTGAATTGTTTAAGTAGCAACCTGCACCAAACATCGATATTTTGTCCTACTTATTGGCACTATTTATTCCTACCTAAGGTACGGTTTCCGCCACTGGACAAGGCAACATTGGCAAATACCACCAAATATATCCCGCCCTAGATAGAATTTGGCTTTCGAAGACAGTTAACATCTATTTTGGATAGCCCGGTAACAGGTGAGGCCAGAATTTAAGAAGGGAAGAAAGTATTTAAACCGCCACAATTGAATAAACGTGCACCGATGACAAAGATGCAGCCTATGATGAGCCTCAAACCAATTTTAGAGCAAAAAATAATAACGAAAGATCACAAGTAGGTGTTGCAAAGAAACTGTGGTCTCAAACGCGAAACTAACTGTAGTTGATAAAAAAACTGCTATTGTATGACTCAAGACGAACATGACACAGGCATTTCCATATTCAAAGAAAAGGCGAAGCAATTTGACTACTAAATATAGGGAAATGTAGAGAATAAACATGTACAGTTAAGCAGGAGGAGAAAATTGGAAAAGGAAGTGTTTTTACTGCACAGCTTTCAAAAGAAACGATGCGTTGAGGCAACAGCAGTCACCAGAAGTGAGTCAGAGCCAGTAAGCTCCATCTACCACCTCATGACTGTGTTAACGCTCGTGTCAGAGGCACAAACGTTTACTTCGTTTACTTTCACCTTAGATAGTAAGTCGCTGAAAAGGGTAGACTAAAAACGCACCTGAATTGCGATTTGACTGAGTTGAGGTGGAAGAGAAGTTGGTTCTAAGGTTGGAAGAATACAAGGCATCAGGAGGTTGATTTCAAGAACAAATTGTTAGCTGACAGTTAGGATCCGTTAACTCACGGGTTCGGTGGCAGCGAATCGTAGGTGGATGTTCGCTGGAGTAAAAAAAGAATTGGGTTGAGCTGGGCTACATCTCAAGACAATTGTCTTTGAACAAAAAAAATTGTAACTTGCTGACCCAGTGATACGTTGCAGAAGCTTATCCTCGCCTAGTCTGAAGGGATTTTTTAGAAAACAAGTTCCGGAGGCAAATGTTTGTTCCGTGACAAAGTATCAAGGAAATTGAGTCTCAGAGTTATAAAACGGGAATAAATTGTACAAGTAAAAACAAAACAATTATCTGCCTTTCAACAAAATTTGTCGTCATGAGAACGCTAAACTTAAACGAAGAGACGCGGATTCCAACGGTGTGACAGCTGACTGGAACATGGAGAGAATAATGCTGATTCTCCACGGGCATCTCGAAAACGCACAGTGTGGGGAAAGAGATGGCTACCTACACCTCCGTAATTACTCGTTCAGAAGTAACAGATTTCCATCAGAGAGCCCTACCTTACCTCTATGCATCAATTTTTTGAACAAAAAGTAATGTAAATCTCGTCCAACTACTGAGGTGACGGCAAAGTCATCAGGAGAGAGAAAATCCCTCCAATTCGTTACATGTACCATTTCATGGTTTTGTAGAAAAGAATTAATTGTGCTTCGTACCTCATTGCGTCTCTAACTGACAGCTCCAAGACTGAACTTTGAAGCACAGAATGGGAGAGTTCATAAAATCAGCAAAACGAGAACTTTGGTATGGTAAAGCATTTATTACCCCTATTATTTTGCATTTGTTCCATGTAGTAAGCCACCTTCGACTCTTCCTCCTCCTCCTCCTCCTCTTCCGCCTCTTCCCCTTCCTGCCTCAAAAAAGCTTAAACCCGCTAAACTCGAGAGGAGGTGGTTTATCCGATGAGTAACTGCTAGAACGATTACGCAATGATTTTGACTCACGATGTTTGCAAAGCGAGATGGTGGACGCTTCCGAGAGAACGATCCACTCGTGCCGACACGGATACGCTGCATGTGTAACTCGTAGAAATGGTGGGAGTTTGAGGCGACGAAGGGGTTCTCCACATCCAACAGCTCTCGCTCCGACTCAGGCAGCGCCGCCAAATTTAGGCGATCTGTGACCGCCAAGGCGTTTGTAGAAGAGAGAGACGAGGCGGAAGAAGGTGGTTTGGGAGGACGTGGGGGTGGAACGTCGATGTCTAGGCTGCTGTGTCGTCGCACCTCGGAGAGGCAGGCCTGGGAATCACCGTCTCGGGGCGGCAGAGCGGCTGAACGGGGACGGAGGGTGGTCGCAGAGGTGGTGCTGCTATCGCTCGTTCGTCGGTCATTACTGGAGAGGGCTGGAGGATAACAGGGAAATAGGAAAAAGGCGATAGAGAGACTCATGGCATTCAATGTGGTCTGTCATGCTCAGGTAACGCAACATCATCATAAGTCGCTTTAAAATAAAGATAACATTCTAAAATCCAATGCGGACTGTTACTACTTCAATTGTATTAAAAGGAAGCATCCAAACACCTGTTACTGCATTTTTCCCCATTCATCAGAAATCTATTATGCGATTAACGTCTTCGATAGTTAACGCACATAATTCCAAGCTCGAATAAGTTTATTAAATAAGAAAAAACATAAAGCGGAAACAGCGATAGAAATGGGGACGAAATGAAGAAGAGAACAAATGAAACGTGAGACCAAATTCAGATAGCATCATGCTGAGAATCAATAGAACAGAACGGACCAAATCAGCCTGCAATTCGTCATCTTGAAGCAGTACATTACAAAATAAGGTGAGCGATAGAGATACAAGCTGATAAAGTCTTGGGTAACTTGCTGCATCGATTCACCTGAGGGATTGAGCCATGCTGTAAAATTGTATTAACATATTGGACTTTCAATGTCGAATGTCCAGTCAAAATACCGTTATGCTGTAGCATCAGAATAATTCACTAATGCCACTTCGCAAAAAGTACATTATAACGTATGGTTTTTATTTTCAAGCCCGGTCAAAACGACGTAATAAGAATTGGTTTCAAATGTCGGAAAACTTGCAGTTGGGCAAGCTTCACCGTGCCAGATCCCATAGCCTCCCTCTATTACAAATCCGTTGCTCTAATTGCAATAGCGGATCATGTGTGTTTCTCCTATGGGGCGGAATGCAAAATTCTTCCAGCTAGTAATGTAAGGAAGGGAGAAACACCAAATTTTGGCATTCAAGTACATGGATTCAGTTCGAAGAAGGGACTTCGAAAAAATCACTTTGCATCATACACAAAACAGCAACCCAACACAGCCAAGGAGTAAAGCTGGCTAAATTTGCACGATGCTTGACCTCCAGACTGGCTACAATGGCTGACCTACAGTGACTAACTTGCATATACCGCAAGGTGTGAATACTTTCAGTACAAACTAACATCAAGCCAAAACAACAGTACTGGAGTTCAGTCACGTTTCCATATAAATTGACAAAACCGCCTTGAGTCGGTGTCGCATTTTAGTGTCTTGTTGTTGTGCCAAACACTCGCAGCCAAGGCAAAAGTATCACAAGTACTCAAAGTCAGCAATAAAGTCTATTCATACGTGTCTTCAGTCCTCATCCTCTTCCAACCTGTTATCGGCTCCACGCAATTCAATTCATTTCACATTTTGAATACGAACGGTTAACTTAACTAAAGAATTTCAACTTGATTAAGTCGACCTATCCACAAATCGCTCCATCCATTGCTCAACCGCTCTCCAGCAAGCCAGACAGCGACATTCGTTCACTAATTCTTCCAACTGACTGCACCATCGCGTTATACTAGTCCCGATTTTACGATTTCCTAAGATTCGGTAAAAAGTGGGTGTTTGAAACTCCCAAACGCATCTCTATCAACGAAAATCGGACATTATATATTCAACCGGACATCACTCCACAGTCAATGACCGCATTCGCGTCCATCAGAAGCGCATTGGAGCACAGGAATGAATCACGGCAGAGCGACCACATTACGAATGTTCTCGTCTGTGCTAATAGCATGCGGGCAACAAAAAAAGTAGGTTGGTGTCATGCATGAGAATTACCAGAGGCCCACTCTTCGGTCGTCTGACTACCGTTTGCCAGGTCGATTCATCCTCATCTTCGTAATCTAATGATGATGACGACGACAATGGGTCGACAGGAAGCAAAAGAGTCTTTCCGTCAAAGTTCTTGAGCGAATTATGAATCACAAGTACAGAAAACGATAAATATCATTAACATACCCCGCTCTTCTACCATTGAATCGTCCTCGAACTCCGTAGTCTGAAAAAAGGGACATGGAAAGCGTCAGTGAAGAGGCTTGCGCATACAATGTGCCAGCTGCTTGAAGGTACGATCATTAAACTTGAGGTTATTCTTCAAGACCTTTCCAGTTGTTTGTGGCGCAAATATTAGTTAAAGCAGTTCAGAATTCACATTCAATATAAAGTCCTTGGTACTAACACAGTTGCTACAACATATCCAGAGGCCCATGATAAGAAATCCAGTCAGTAATGCTTAACTGGCAGACATCGCTAAATGGCAGCCCTTTGATTATTAATGCAGAGTCTTCAGTGATCGGAATCGTTTAGTGTAAGATTGTAAAATTATTAATAAAAGCTAAATCTGGGTGTTGTGGACATCACCAAAACCCAACTTTCATCCATACAGCCATAAACATGTTGTTTCCAATGTCTTTGCCTCCAGTTAACTAATTCAAGTCTCGCGAACTGCTGTACTAGGTGCTGCATTATGTATGTTATCAATAGCATGTCCACAACAGGAAGCACGTCTGCCATTAATGGCAGATAGTCTTTCCGAGAGCTGATTGGAGGAAGTGGCTGGGAATGGAGGTGGCTCTGTCGAGTGGATTTTCCGAGGCGTTTACTAGATCCTGTAATAACACAATTGTTTTAAATGACCACTGCATTGTGCATAGATGAGGACTAGTGAGTGCAAAGGCACCTAACACAAAGGTGCAAATATTTATGGTTAGTGGAAGGTGAATGACGTCTTATGGCAAATGAGAAAAATTGGCCGGGATTCGATAACTTCACCTTTCGAAAATCGGAAGGGCACTTCCAAATCTTATCAGTGAGGGGCGGGGATAACTTACTCTATCAGTTTGGCATTCCATGGTGGCAGTCAGGACCGTTCCCTCCTTTTTACGAACGGCAGCAAGATCTCGTTTTAGATTTTCCTCTCTAATACAAAAAAAACTGCTCATCAACATTACAAAGCAAAAATTGTGCTATTTACTAAGCAAATCTTATCACTCTCTCGGGATTCAGCCACCAACTACCTTCTCGCCTTACAGCTTGTAAGGTTTACATAAGTGATTTCTTGAACAAACTTGACACGATGACTCATTTCAAGGGCTAATTTGACCCCTCCAAAGGCAGGAAAAAACTTGGAAATCCCTTTCCTCTTGCCTAAACAATCTTTTGAGAAATTTTTCCTGAAGTAAAGCAAGGAAATGTGGGACCCCACCAAGGGACACATTTAACAACAAGTAACCAGTTAATGACCGTATAAGGAAAGAATTAACCGCTTAAGATCTGATGCTTATTTCCGGCATCCGAATTCCCATCTTTGTATGTGGAGACAGGGAGGATGATCAGACCGAAGACCCCAGTATTGGATGAGCGCTTACCTCAGAGGTACTCAAAGCGCAGAAACAAAAACTGGAGGGAGAAGGAGGAAGAAGTTAATCGACTGTAATTTTACGGTGAATCAGTCCTGCCATTCCATCTCACTTCATACCACAATTTCCCAGCTATCAAAGAGGACTTTTTAATATCAATTATTCGGTATTAAGCAAGGAATTTAGTCATCAAAAGGAAGAAGTAGAACTGGAAAGAGGCATCGTCTTTAGCCCGTAGAGTTAGTCACAACCAGCGAAATGACTCTCTACAAGGACACTTGGGTCGAAATTGACTCCCAAAAATGATGACCTATGGAGAGAACACTAAACGATTTGGACTTGGACAAGAAAATCATGCCTTAGTTCCATCAAAGAAATGAAAGGATGATCGTCTATTTCAGTAAGGGCAATGTGGCCGAGACCTTGAGTACCATCCTTAGGAAATCCATACAAGAGAATGGAAGCACGTATGTACAAGTGTCATATTTTCGGGTTCTATAAGGAGCTAATGCAAGCATTAAAACGTGATGACCTATTTCAAGACCAAAATCTAGAGAATACAGTCAGAGGAAAGCGCTTTGCAACAACTGCTATTCCATTTCGTTTTCCTTGCATCCCTATAGTGAATTTATTCTTCATACAAAAGGGTAAAAAAGGTTTGAGACTTCAAGTAGAAGACATTTATCACTTGATGCATTCTGAAATCACAGTTTTCAGTAATCAAGGTCAAAATGCAAAGATGAACTGATTTCAAAATGTCGGTGGCCCATTTCAAGATTGAGTCCAACAACACCAGTCAGTAAGTGATAAAAACGAGGTAGAAAAGTTTGCATCTTGTTTTCGACACGATCTTAATAATGAACGGTCCGCATGTTAAGTGAGAGCCGATTTATTGCCCCAAGAAGGCCTGAAATGAAAGCCATGAGAGCTTGAATCGATTACACGACCTGGAACCGAAGGCTGCCTCCCATCCTCATTCTACTCGAATGTTATTTCTGGCGACATTGGGAAGATGCCCCTCCTTCAAGGGGAAATGTCAAAGTGGTGCAAAACAATTTAGCAAAGCAGTATCAACCACTAGAGGGCTCAAGTTTAGCAAAGAGCGTGTCAAAGAGAATAGAGGAAAGTGCTTTTCGAGATAAACTGATTCGAAGCAAAAAAAACTTTCGATAGACAGTCTAGTAGTCAATGTTTTAGCAACAAGCCAAGCCTGGTGGCAACTGATATTGGCAGAGCATTTGATAAGGTCGTGAACGCGTTAAATGAAAACCTCTAAACAAATATGGATATTTTGAAGCAGTAATATTAGAATAAAAAGCGGAATTAACAAATAAATAATACAGCAGTTAAAGTCCCTGCAAAACGAACCTTTGGAGCAAGCCTTCATAGAGTGCTAGAAGGGAGGAGTACTTGGTTTGGATGTCACAAGACCGGGGATCCTTGGTCAGAGCAGTTGGCGTTACTGCCTCCTCTTCCGTCTCCTCGGTGTCTTCGCCCTGTTCCGGCACCGGACTCAGTCGTCCTCTGCCATCAGAGGGCGTCGGCGCCTCAGCACCACCCGGTTCGAGAGCAGCTGTAGGTACGACAGCTGGAGTCTGTGCGTCGGCTAGACGGGTTTCAAGATTATGGCAGCGCAGACATAATCTCTCGATTGCTTCATCAGCTGCAGCCTCCTGATCTGTCAACTGCAAGAAAACAAAACTGCAAGAACATTCTTTTTTGTGGACACAGCAGACATTCAACGAGGACGTGGTTTACATTTTATTGGTGTTTTCGGATCTTTTCAATCTTAAAAAATTACAAGAGAATTAGTTACAAATTTCTACATTTTCAGAGATTACTTAAAGAGCTACGCTGATGCAAAAAATGTATTTCATTGCATCACAACACCGAAATGCAGGTAACAATGACCATATTATCGCAACGCTTAACCCTACAAACATTCACGGTGGTGTTGTGGTTGGTCGGTTTACGTATCACTCGCTATTCGAATTTCAGACCAGCAGGACCTAGTCCTACTCATACTCCCCACCACTGATCTCCAACTCTTCCGCAGGCAAAAATAGGATTTGTCGCAAAACAAACACCTCCAATACCTGGTACATCTCGGACACAAGGCTAACTCCACACCTGGTTTAAAAAAATTAATTTCAAGCATTTACACAATCTAGTTTCGGGAGTAACTCAAATGACCTAGCTTTGCTCTTGCTAATATTTAGATCATGAAATTATATTCGAGCTGCTAATCCCTGAATCCAGTACCCTCCAATGCCTAATAAAATGTTGTTGCTAGTTTACTTATCACTCCAATGCCATATTCTCTTTCAAGCTTCCAATAAATCAGAGTTTGTAAGTCCTATTAAAGTACAAAAGAGAGATATCTACAGGAAAGCATCCAGCTTATTGTTTCATACATTTGAAATGCCAGGGAATTGAAGGCACAAGATTGGTTGTGAAATGAATATCTAGGATAGGAGATTTTGAAAACAGCCTCCGTTTAGAAGGCGCAACTTCAATGGAACCATCCCTCTCTAATAGGTAAGTGCTATCGTGGGTCATCTCTCGTATCACCAAACGAGGAGTAATAAATGAGTGGTTGAGCAACTTTGCAAATGAACTGAGGATAAGGCTAAAAGACGAGGAGTGGCATTATGTTTAACAATTGTATACACACGCGCAAACACCAACAGAAGAGGATGCGGCTGTGAGTCGGATGGGCGTAGTTCACATGGACCAAAATTGGCACCTGGATCAGATTTTAGGGAATGAGGATTGTTATTAGACGGATGGTGAATTTTACTACCAATTTGATGCTTTTTGAGGGAAAATACAAATTTTCACATTTTTACAAGAATATCTAAAAATGCCTGTCTATATGCTCCTACCAATTATTAGTGAAGCGGATTCCCTCCTCTGTTGAAGAGAGTATTGCAGCTTCTCAATTATCAAAGCCGAGCGACTTTAAAATCGAACTCCCTGACAAACGGCAATTAACGATGAAACTCAAAGCGCTTGTACTTGCGGACAAGATACGCTAGACCTTAACGTATTCAGCAAATGTGCAAATTTCCTTGCCTAAGCTAATTGTCCAGCCAAAACTAACTTGTGATGACAATCTGTGCTGGATCCTACGCTAAAAACAGACATTTGGGTTTGAAGTAAAGACAAAAAGCATGATATGACGTTCCTGGTCTGCAGACAAATGGGTTGGCTAGAATTACCGGAAAGTAATAACAGCTTAAAGGTTAACAATAATGAGCCCTACATTTGGTACTTGTTTTTACATTTTAAACTAGTCATTTCACAAATTTGAGGTAAATTCTGATCCAATTCCCCAAAACAAACAGTAAAAATAGATGCATTTGCTGAAAGCCACACGTAGGTCTCAAACACCAAAGCGATTATAGCTGACACTCGAAAAGGAAAAAGGGCGCACATATAAATTCAAATTCAATTCAATTCATGAATCAGAGAAAATGGAAATGGAGAGGTGAATGAAAGTACAGGCACATGAATGAATGTCTGCTGAGAACAAGCCGGTCAACAAAGTTGTGTAGTGCTCAGTGTCAAGGAGACTTCACGCACACACTGACGCATAGGATGGAGAATCGAAAAGGTGAATGAATTGCTCAATTAATGGGCGTGCTTTGGTCGATGAGCAAATGTAACAGAGAACCAATAAAAGTGAGCTACACACCAGGAAAAAGTCACTCACTCGCTGTCCAAGACGCCGAACACGGGAACGGAGACGCTTAATTTGCGCCTGAGCAATAATAAGATCTTGAGCTAAGCACTGGACGAGGGGCATCGCAGTACGCGGCACGGCTGCCTGAATTCGCGCTTGATCGGTCTCCGAAAGTGGACCCATCCAGAGATCCCCACTCTCTTCCTCTACAGCCTTTCCACGATCTTCCAACCTTTCCAACGCTCCTAACACCACCTGAGCTGGGTAGTCGTGGTGGCGGTGGGACACGGATGTACAAGCAGCGACAGTAGCAGGAGTAGTTGTAGTAGTAGTAGAGGAGGAGCAGAGGCCAGCATCAAAAGAAGCAGAGGAACATGGAGAGGAGGCTTCGTCGCTGTCCGCCTGACGGAGGGTTCTTTCTTCAGCTTCTTCGGCCTTATCGACCTCCTCGGGTTCGGTAGTGTTAGCTGAGGCAGATGCCGAGGTGTTGGTGAAAGGATCATCTGACGCCGACAAACCGTCGTCCACCTCGTCATTGTCCTCTTCATCGTCCTCATTATCAGAGAGGTTTGCCTTAGCGGCCGCCATTGAAGCGTCCGCTAGCAGTTTACGCAAAGTCTCCACCGAGTTGTCGTTCTTCATTATAAAACATTAGAATGGTATTGTTACCTATAATGATGATCCGCCTGGGTCGCTTGTGCGGTTAGACCTGAGGCTAGCTGAGCATTTAAAACAAAGTCACTTCCGAGGTCACATAATTTGCAAAAGCCTGAATCTTATTATGCCAAAAGTACAATTGGAAGCAAAAACATTCAAGTAACATGATTGCTTACAGTTGTTTTGGCAATAATTAGAGCCTCTGAATGCCCACTTCCATGGGCGCTAACCTACATTTTCGAACGCCATTACTTGATTGGTGTTTGTCTTTGTGGAGGCGATAATTCGTCGACAATAAACGTGAATTAAAAGTGTGTGTGTGCATTGTTCAAGGTTGGTATTCATCCGTATTTCAGAGCGGTAGAGATGCCACATCCTGAAAATTCGATAGTACACCCAACGCCCATGCAAATAATGAATGAAATCGCACAGCAAGAAAATGAAATGTGAGCGCAAGGTGAAAAGCTCAGCCAGTGGTTATGCCGCTCACTTTGATTTGATGATGCCCAACAGAGCGTAGGTGGACATGAGTCAGACATGCATGACATCGACGAAAGCTATTTCTGGAGAGTCAGAGAATCCATTATCAGGCAACAAGGAACAGTATAGTTTACTTGAGCCAAAGAAGTCTATGCCATTTTCCGATACAGGTCTTCGCGACTCTCACTAAAGTAAAAGACTATTGTATACGAAAGAAAACTAACTCCACCCTCTAAAAAGAAAGAGGAGAAAATGTTGGCAAACCAAATCATTGAAAGTAATCGTTTCGTTGGTTCTACGTATATGCCCGAATGCTGGGAGAATAACTGGTCAATAGGTCATAAAATGCGGGCAGCCATGAGGATTCTGAAGATGGCAATCGGCACCACGTGGTACCAATGTCATGGAGATAAACTGCTAAAGTACATGCAAAGGATACTTCACCAGTTTATCGCTCCTTCGTAAAATAGTCGAAACGATCTACTCAGGCAGTGAATCAGAAACCTGCCACAAATCCAGCTTTAATCAGTACCTTGTCAGAGTTCACTAGTAGTGCTCAAACTGTATTGCATATTTGGTTTTGTATGAACAAAAAGGTGTTTAACCACAACGGTACCACATACAAGAATAAGTGGAAGGAATCGTATCACAAATACCGGCATTCAGCACCCAGACACCGGTAATTTGGAAGAAGGGCAACGCCATTGCCTATGAGCTGGTAACACCGCGTATTGATAAGATTTCCCATTAACGAAGGCATCCTCTAAACACTTCAATGGTAGAACGCTAAATTGCTCGACATCGACACACTTGAGTAATATGCACCTTCCGAACACGGCTAGCCATATCTGTGTATCGCACACTAAGTCCCGTGAGCCCTTACCTGGTGCGAAGGCACCACCTAAATTCGGGTGTATGATGGAGGCAGCATTCAGCATCATTTGCGTCACTGAGTTGGGGCGAAGACTTCTGTGGAAACGGTGAGGGTAGTCGACCTGCATCAAGTGTGCATGACGATAGCAATGTTAAGCAGGTTGTTCAACCAAGCTGATGAATTCTTCCACGCTCATACTTTTCTTATACCGTGTAATTGTGGAAGTAAGAGGCATATCAGTCTTATCGCGGCTAAGTGATTTGAACAGACATCCGCCTAGCAAGCTGCTGACTGGGTGCAGGATTCAACATTTGTGTCGATCGTAAAAGTACAGCTAGGAGTTACAGGTAGATCAGAGGTTAACCAATCCTATAGTCACTAAGCTGTATTAAACTCGCTTGAAACGGGCAGTCAATAAACCAAAAGTGGTGGTGGCAACAACCTTTGTTCGGATTGAAATATCCAAAGGTATTAGAAAAGCGGAGAAAATAAATGTGAATTCCACCATAAAGCTGCTCCTAGAAGACCGCCTCGGTATTTGAATAAATGGATTCACGAGAAGCTTTCACAAGGCTAATGATGTCAGAGACAACAATAAACCAGTGAAAGTAGGAAGTAGCGCTGCCTAAAATAAGATGGCAGACCTTGAGTGTGCTAACCGCCTACTTGAGGGTTGGCGGTGTCAGTTTACAATACTGTTTACTCGGTCACCAATGCATTCACAACTAAAAGTAGGCGTACCAGCCAAAGCATGAGTGTTGTTAATGCTAGGTCAAGGTCGAGGTGATGATTAAGCAGTGCTTTAAAAGATGCAGTAGCAAGCACAATTCATAAACAAGAGTAAAGGAAAGAAGATTGGTAGAATAAAGAGTTGGTGGGGATAGACTGAAAAGTGATTTGTTTTATCGCTTTACTGTGGAAAGTGAGGTGCCAGAGGTAAAGGGACATCGAGTGCGCAATCTACCAATCTGGAAGGGCAGTAGGGGGCCTAACTCCATCCCTTCTTCCTAAGCCTTGATGAAATCGTGCACTTGCCTCTACTGTTCAATAAGTTTTGGATTATCGAGTGTATTACTATATGGTTATTGCTCCTCACTTTTGGCAAGAGTGGTTTACTTTTGCCTAAAACAATGAATCGACTCACGAGTTCGAGGGAAGGTTGGTGGCTTTCCTCAATCGCGTCGGAGCTAAAAGTGGCACAGAAAGACATGGATTAGGTTTACTTAAAGTGTGGCTTGTTGCAAGAACTAACATCACTTCCAGCAGTCGTGTCCGCGTTATTGTACTGTCGCGCACAAAAAACACGCCTATTTTCAGGGCTCCGTAACAGACCAACAGTGATTCACCGAGGCAGGCACTTTCAAGGCTGCAATACCCCCAAAAGAGCACTTCCAATGAATGCAGTGAATCACTAGCCGCTACAACGCAAACTCTACGAACACTAGCAAAGCAAGGCAACACAATCGCATAGCCAAGAGTATGTATTTATGTACTGGTTTTGGAGAAGAAGGCGTGTGAGTAATTCACGCCGCAAACAGAGACAATGTACGTGCAGTGACTTGTGGCTACACATTTGCGCTCATTCACCTCCCGTTCCCTGCTCTGCATATGCATGCGTAAATGGGGCAATAAAGAGGAAATAAACATGTGCTAATTTTAAAATAAGGTAGCATGTGGACTAAAGTCTCACTGACACTAGCACCTGGCATGGGATGAAGGTCCTTAAACTTCGCTGCACACGAGCGAAGAGGGACAAGACTACCTCCATATTCAGCAATGGATAAGGCTATGGCTCAAGCTACCGGATACAAGTGTTTCGACCCAGCGTCATAAAACCAGGAAATTGGCAATGCGTTCAAAATACCTTAAATTGATTAAAATATTGTGGCTTTCAAAGCGCAGGTGGGGATAAGGGACTCAAGCAAACGCTATTATTTCGTTTGAGACAATTCCCGCAAATGGAAATTAAGTAAACCTCGTTATGACCTTTAACCGACTAATTCGATCTACTGTTCTCCCAAACCAAATGTAGACATCGGTAATTACCTACTCCTCCTCTTTCACGATAAGTTCATTCACTAATTTCAAAGAGCTACATTTGAGATCGCAGATCATCGCGCTCAACTCAAAGGCGACATTTGCTCACATGCAAGGAAATAGGCTGTCACCTATTCAGAGCAGGAACCGTGTATTTCCATGCACACGAAAGCGGCTAAATGGGATCTTACTTAGCACCAACACTGGAACAGGTGCTGGAGGTCATTTGGCCATCGGCTTCGAGCAGAGCAACAATCGAATTCGCAGTATCCGGCCTCTCCCGTCCAACAACGAAACTAGAACGCAAGCAGAGAGGGAAGCCGATTCAGTAGATAAATAGCCTACGCACGACCTTGATTGTCGATGATTAAAAAACAACCATGATCAATCCTATGAGTTATTAAAAACTGACTGCAAGAGATTGCCTTTTAATATTGGCGGAAAAAGAACAAAAAAAACCAAAGCCGATGCTTATCATACATATGAGACAAACATTCACAAGTGGTGCCCTTTTTTCACAGTTCTGCAATTCAAACAACAAACATACTTGGTTACAAACTGTTCGAATGACTGTGGTGATTCTCATTACTCTCAGGCACCAAAGCAGAAAGATGGACTTCATGAATGCACCGACCGCGATGAACGTTAAATAGTTAAACTAGGTGCATTGCGTCAATTGCCAACAATAGGTGCAGTTGAGATTACAACCGTGCAAGAATGACTCAAAACACTTATAAAGTCTTGTCACATTGGCATTCGTCTTTAGAATCGAACTTAATGTATGAAAAGGTCAACTTTTTTAAATACATTAACAAATCCAACGGATGTTCAGTGATATGCTCCTATCTCCTCTATCCTCCCTTGAGGAACAAAATGAAGTAGGATTACAGAGTAAATAAGAAAAATTACTCCCTGTAGAAAATGATCTCTGTAGAAGGGTGCACACACAATAATGAACACAAAATGCGTTAGCTAGAAGGAGCGCAAAAAAATAGGACTGTAAGTACGTCAAACAAGGAAACCAGACTCTGGAGATGGGAAAAGAAGAGAGATTAGTTGTAACTTACTGAACAGTCCCAGTAGTATTACGAAGAACAGTGGCAGCGAAGTTTTGTGAGACACCGACGAGGTTCTGTCCATCCACCTCCACCAACTGATCGTAGACTCGCATTCTGATGTTAAGAAAGGAGAGAGAGTTTTAGTCTACCAGGATGAACCAAGAGAAGAGCCATGAGTCATCACCGAAGACCAAGGAGACCGATGAGTCACTGGCTTAGACGGGACCGACTACTAACTCCCCACCCTTCGCCCTTACTCGGTTACCAACTGACAGGCAAAGTGGGAATTGTACGTTTTCCAAATGGAACACGTACACTACCGTCGGAAGCATCCATCAATCATAGAAACGACTTTTATGAAAATGAGCGCTGGGCAACAAAGTACTTGGAAATAAATCTTCCATCCTGAAATTCATTATGGGCTCCTCATTTGAAACGTAGCGGCGTAAGCAAAATATCTACAGCTTGATTACCCATCCATGCCCTTTTGGTCACCGGGTTGAGAAAAGCGTCAGAAGATGCACTGTGAAGGAGTTAAATAACACTAGTAGGTGCGTCCAAAGTCATGGCGATTCATGCGTAAAATGAGTTAGGCGCATCCGTTCCCTCAGTGTCTCGCCACTACAAAACACGTTATTTACGTTTCAAGGACCTCACGTGATAAAATCCAAACAACACAACCTCCTGCTATGACAGCAGTTCCCACCAAAACGATCGTACATTGATGTACTGCGTTAACTACCTAACCGAGACAAGTAAATGAAATCCGAAGGCGAACTGCTCCTCAAAGGCTACATTCGACGGATTTGAAATTGTTTAACGCAGTAATGACGGCTACTTATCAGTGTGAGTTTCAAGGAGCCAAACACTAACAAAATCTGCAACCCATAGCTAGGGCCCAAATTATCATCCGACTAGACGAGAAATGGATCATTCCTACAAAGGTAGAGGGAAAAAACTAACTTCAGGATGCCCGCAAACTGACACAAATCTTTATATGGACTGTCGAACGAGTGGAGTAGCTGCATGACCATGTGACCCAAGCAGTAAAAATGGCAATTATCAACTTACCTCCCATCAACGTCAGCAGCCCCACCAGGCGTGATAGCTTTCACGAAGATGCCCAACTTTTCCACTCCATTCACGAATGTCATACCCATTCCGAGGATGCTGATTCCCAGGCCATTGTCTCCTAGAAGCAGAGTAGAATGGATCATAAAATCGCGAGGTATGCACCCAGGTGAATCGATAGACAGATTCATAAGCCTTTCGAGGACGGAAGTTGTACGACTCGTGAGTAGAAACAGTAGCAACTCACCAGACCTGATGAATATTCGCCGCCAAAAAGCAGCAGTCAAAGCACCGCCCCAAAACTCCTTCAAGTAGGGCTGAATTAACAAAGTGGGAATATGTGCAGCAAGCAGTTGACTCATCTCCTGTTTCAGCAAAAAAATGGCTTTGAACAGCTTCCACGTTTGCCTTCGCATGTTCACGTTTGTCGGAGAAAATGGCACTGTTTACACACACTCACGATCTGCCTTACAAATCACAGAAAAGTAGCACCACGAACACAGCGCAACTGGTGAAAGTTAAGCTCTTCGAAGTTAAGCACTATCACTGACCACCTTTTGTGGACGCATTGGCCGATGAAGTCAGGGAGAACAAAACTATGATCAAGAGCAGCCGATATTATTCGGCTAATTTTTTATTGCGAATGAAGTTGTCGTACTGTCCTCAGTTTAGTGATTTTTAAGCGATTAACCTCACTTAATAAGGATGTGAAACATATTGACTTTGGCATGTCAGTGTTTGGCTTATGCTTCATACCAAGTAGATGCCACATTGGTACTTAATAAACCTAACTAAAAGTCCGCACTGGACCTTGTCAGTTCAAACACCAACAGAAACGGTCTTTGTACTGAACCTCGTGTCTACGCAGCCACGTTTTTCATCGCATTTGTTTACTTACTTGGTTTGTATGGTGCTGGAACCATTCAAATTCTGAATGAGAGAAATGCAATCTGAATTTCAAGGCCGCAACAGAACACCTAACTATCTCCAGAGCCCGCTAGTGAGTTATTCGCCCATTAAATTGCTGCTGCTGGAACATTGACCAGTTTAATTCTTCCAATTGAACCAAAAACATTCATAACATGATTCATTGTTTGAATCATAATTAATCCACAACATGAACCTAACTAAACGGCAACCAAAATCCGGCATAAAACTCCTGCCACCTGTGACACATGGGTCAAACAAAAGGACCGAGTCGTCGCATTTATGTGTCTATCCCAGCAAAAGTCCTAATGGTTGTATTTTGCAACATTAACCGTCTAAAATTCTCTCACTATGATGCATGCCTCAATTGCAGTGAGAGGTTTACCTGAGGTTTTCGAATTACATTATCTACATTCGTCAATTTCTAAACAGCTTACCTTCCACCTCTCCAAGACCATATACTCTTGTGCATACATCTGCTGACGGATCCCCTCTTCAGATTAAAAGATCCCCATTTCCAACATCAAGTGTCTGCCTTCAAACGATTTTGGCGGCGTAATACTAGTGTATTAGGGACTGATACATCGTTTAGCGAGTTGAATTAACAAAATAAGCGAAAGTCGGAATTGGCCACATTCCAACTTCCGATCGAAAAAACCAAGTCTGTAACGGAAACGAGTTAATAGCTGCCAATATCTAGAAAAGCCAATTTACAAACCTTTCTGTAGCTCCACATCGAAAAGGTCCAGATCTTCGAGGCGTTTCTCTAATTCGTACTCAGCGGAGGCGACTAAAGGGTCAATGGAGTCATTGCGACGTTTGTAGGCGGTCACTGAATGGGTGCTGAACACCTGCAATAGACAAGGGATACAAAGCGTCAAAAATCGAGTAAACCGTTTTGCATTTGCTATTTAAATGAAGTCTCTTCTCCAAAACACACACGTTATCTACATTCCAAGGTGGATTTAAAAAAAAAAAGCGAAATTCCCGAAGACCGATGAAGCAATAAATGTCAAGAGGGATTTACGAGGAGAGAATAAACTGCTGCAAGTGAAATTACGACTGGTCAAGAGCAGAGCAAAAGTATTCCGGATTCCATGGTAGTGGTTAGGAGGCAGATGAATTCAGATACTGCTAATGATGGTGGCATTTTCGTAAACAGATGCAAGGGAGAAGGGCTTCAGAAATGCAAACAGCTTTCTGTATTTTCTATTCGTAACACAAAGTGAAAGATAATGCAACCTCCCAAAATAGAAAGCATAAGCTAAGAAATGTAACACTTTCTTTCGCCGATGTTGCCCACTAAAAACATTTTTGTCCGGAAGTGACAGGAAGTGGGGAGCACCACAGAACCACAGTAAAAATTAATACAAACAAATCAAATCCGTAAGTCTACAAGACAGGTAAACCATCCAAATGGTGGAAATCTCGTTTCAAAGCAAAATCACGCCCCAAAAGCCACCAAATCGTGTTAATTATCAATAATGCATGATGGCTGTACAAGGGAATACCTTCAAGGGGACGGCGAAAACAGTGCCAATCATAAATTTTTTTTCATAGCCTGACTAGGGGCTGGAAGTGGTCGAACCTCGAACCACAAAGGTGCCGAAATAAGCGAACGCAAATGGCCTGTCATTGAGGCTTGTTGTGACAAATTGCCGCGCCGAAGATGCAAAACTGAAGTGCCACATTTTTCAGCGGGCACATATGCGAGCAGGGGAATAAAAACAAAGAGATATAACCTCTCAACTAGAGCTTATTAAAACCAAGTTAAGAAATAGCGCTTCTCGGATCCTTCAAACCTACTTTACTCCGATGAACACAAGACTATCCAAAGGGAGTTCAAAACATCAAATCGCCTCAATTGCCCAATCCGTTCATCCCTTCCTGACAGGTGAAAAGAGACGAAACTCAGAGAACTATTTGAGTGACCGCAAGTGCCATTCAATTGGATTCCATTCTAGGCCAATAATAGGAATTATGAAGACGGGTGAATAGTTCCAGCATGCGATGACGTTGACAGGGGGCTCAACGATGTTTGAGATAAGGGGTGAGAGGAAGGCGGGATGGCGTAGTGCAATCGTGTCGCCTAATTGGATGCTCAGCTTGCACACACCCGCTGGAAGGCGTGGTTGTATAAATGGCAGATCACGAGACTGGTACGGTGTGTATGGCTAATTCGAGTGGTTAAAGATGACTGTGTGATGAAGAAATAGTGATACTCATAAGAATCAGTGAGAAATTTGAGTTCGTTTATTTCCGCTCCAAAGGCAACCATTTCAACTTTTTGTTGCAGTTTATCACTCCAGACTCGAGAAAGGACAAGATTAGGATCAACTAGTTGCCTGGTTGTCTCATTAACAAAACAGGCGTTTCATTGTTACACTACTCTGCCATCTAACGTAGTTAGCTGCGGTGGTCAAAAAGTGTGGGATACTCTTCAAGAAAGCAAGGAGAGCGAATAGTCTTAAATTTGCCACTCGCTTCCCCTTAAAGAGCGTTACTTCTCACTCTTTAAAACAACCTTTCTGCAGGTTTTAAAGTAAGCAATAGCAGTATCCTCTGGAACCTAAGTGGTATCCACAAACAGGAGAGGAAAGAAGGCCAATAAGTGCTCCAATAACTAAAGAGCACAGTAGTTTCAGAAATGCTACTTCCAAATGCATTTTGAAAGTGTCACAATTAGGCAATGAAACATTTGATAGTAATAATAATCGTTAAATCGAAGGAAAAACCCAACATCGAAGCAAGACAGATGAATGACATCTCAAAAAATCCTCACAGCTAGGACTCGGCGTGAGCTGCATCAAGATAGATCAAATATCCTCTCGTTTGCCTTGCGTTACTAATAGCTAAAGTGTAGAGGGACTAAAGGCGTGAGCTAAAAGGTTTACAACTTTTGTCTAACTTCTAAAATGTACGGCAAATACTTTAAAGGAAGGAATCTCATGTGAAAGAGGTAGCATGAACAAGGCACGATAAAAACGACAGACTTCGAACAGGTCTATCGGGAATGCTTCGGAAACTGTAATCGTAATGCCAAAAGAGGATGTTGCAAATTTGCGTGCAAACAACGGCCTGTGAGGTGGATTAAAATTATGAAGCCGCGTAAAATCGGTTGAATTTTGGATGAGTTTCCAGTTACGTCCATAAAGTGTACCCAAATAACAACAAACTTCATCCTTGATGTGGATAATGTCCAACCAGGACGAGGCGTTTTCCCATTTGAATTGTGCAAATGAAGCTGAAACATGCAAAAAGATTTACACAGGGAGTGGAGAAATGAGATTCAGTCACTGCTACCACCAAAGAACAAGAGGTGTGTCAGCTTCCTTCCTCTTGGCTACGAATCACACCCAATTACTGGACTCAAGTTTTCAAAACCCGGGTGGCATCTTTGAATAGCTAGGTGCCTGAAATAAGTTAGCTGAACAGAAAGACTAGCTTTGGATTTAAGAATTGTAAGTTGGCTCAACCGAGCCTCGTTTACGAGGCAATCAACTGTTTGCCAGTAGGGTTAGCAGAGAAACGAGCTATATCGACCTCCCCCTTGGCAAACAGCTTTAAATAAATGAGGCGGTTACAAGTGCGAGGAAAATGCATGAAATGGAAAGGGTCGGACAATTAGCCAGTAGGTCTGTCAGATTATTACCCGCCTGCAAGCGCCCAGACCAGAATTAATGGTCAGCAACAAGTCGCGCCGCGGATAATCTGCTTTAGCACCACCGGTCTTTTTCATCGCAAAATTCCAACACTCCGAAAAGGAAGCAACGAGTGTACTTGGAATAAAACTGTCCTCCAATACCTTAACCGCGATTTCCCTCGACTATAACACCATCGATACTAAACGCGAAAGATTTGGAGCTCAAAGGATAGAATTTCGGGCATTGCTTAACGAGATTGCGACTGAGGAAAATCGACCACCCATAGACGATAAGCTATAGTAAAGTTATGTCGCACAATCTTTTAACAATAAGCATCTCTTCCCAGCCTAAAGGCATCCAACCCCCACTTTAAATTCTGAATTTAGCCATTCTGTTTGAAGCACGATGCAGCTAAATCAGTTGGAACAAACTGAAAAAAACACGTCACTAACTTTTGATGCTGGTTAAGACCGCGTTACCGTTGGCGGTGATCTGATTGTGGGTGGAAAATGGGCACTATTTGACCATAAAGTATGCCCTAGCATCGGAACACTGGAAAGCAATTTTTGCAAAACATTATTTACACTTTTTGAAGTGATAAAGAGCGGCCTCTGAGAGTACTACCATAACCAAGAATTGCAATAGATGTTAATGTCACAGGTGAAAGTTCACAAAGTTGGTTCGAGAGAACACAATTTCGCGGAGAAAAGTTATCCGCAAGAGAAAACAAGAACAACCTTACAGGAATAGGATTGAAATAAGTTAAGAACTCGTTAACTGGCATAGGACCTGGCTATAGTAAGACAACAGACGGGAGGAGGCATCAAAACCCATCTTCTGGGGAGACATGCACCGAAAAAAAACGGAACGTGCAAATTGGCAAGATGTGAGAAATACAAGACAGAACATTATGAATGTAAAAGGTAAAACAAAATCAAAATTGCAGTCAAACGGATCAATTCTTGTCTAAGCGCGTGAACGTCTTTCTGAGTAAGAGGGAAAGAGATCAGGTAAACTAAAAAGTAACGACCACTCCTCCAAACAAGAGAGTTCAAATTATACGAGAATCTCAGTTGGAAAAAGCGCCGATCAAATGAATCTCAAGGAATGCATAAGAGTCTTGGAACTTTAAGCCTCCCTACGTGATCTAAGGGCTTGAAAAAAGATATCTATGTGCTTACACTTGGACCAATCCAACCCTCGAAGCTAGATCTCTCCGGAGGAACCTTAATCCCGTTTCACAGATTTCATCTCAGTCCTCATGACCACAGCTGGTGTCAGCTGCGGATTGTTAGCACTGACCATGAGGAATGCATAGATTTTGTGAGGATCGTTAAGCTAGGAGGATAGCAAGAGGCGCCACTAGAACAATCGCACCAGACGGCTCGAATGAGCACAAAATAAAAATCCACCGTACAAATGTGAAAAGAAAAGCATCCTGACTGTTGGCAACTCACGGTGATAGGCTCAGTGCTGAAGTTCACTGATCGCTGCTTCTTAGAGGGAGTTAAAGATTCAACCTCGAAAGGCGATTCCGTCGAAGTAAAATGAGAATCCTCGGCCTCCGATAGCGGTGGGATCCCATCCGTTTGGTAGAAAAAGTGTCCATCTTCCAGCAAATATACACCAGAATCGTTAACTGAACAAAAGAGGGGGAAAAAAGGACTGGTCAGATCTCCCCTCCTTCACAAAGGCAATACTCAACGCAAAATCACCATTGTTATTGGTAAGATGACCTAACTCGGCCATTGAATAGGAGTTAAAAGGAGAAAATGTAATAAAGATGGGTACTAAGCAGTTTCTGCTCCTCAATAGCTTTCCAAACATCAGCATGCAAAGATTTGCATCTAAAGACCGGACAAGTAGATAAATATACCATAGCTTTAAAAAACTGGGAAGGAAGACACGCTACTAGGACTAACAGACGCAATACACTGCTCCTCAAAAGACGAGAACAATTTTTAGGCAATTTGGATGGTTTCACGTAGAGTTGAAGAATCAAAGGAAATACCTAAGTCAACAAAGCTTACTTTCTGTAAGGCGAAAGGGAAGAGGGATGTTATGGTTTCAGATTTTTAAACGGAAAAATTTCTCGTTTTTTGGAGGAATAAGGCTGTCAAGCCGGCGTAACTAGTGAAGTCCCGAATTTGATACAAGAACTATTAAGCCTTGGCACCCATAGAGATAGACTGAGTAATGAGGTTATTTGACGCACCGGCGACAGGGCGGAGATGTGAGGGGAGCGAGAGTTTGAGTATCTTCTCGTTGTCAATACTCTCGTCAATAGGATCCCAGTTGCCGATGTCCTCCGGAGTCGACCCTCTCTCTTCCTCCTCTTCCCCCTCATCCTCATTCTCTCCCTCTTCGCATACTTCATCTGATACTTCCAGACCCTCCTCCTCTAGGGAACGCTTGTCGACCGCTTCACCGACTTCTAGAATTTCCTCTCTGAGAAGCAGGTTTCCTGATTCTGTACTCTTTTTCACTTCTGCTAGCAAGTTGGCGGAAGGAGGAACGGAGGAAACTTCTACTTCAGAGGCCTTGGACAAAGCACTGGACTCCTGAAAATATCCAAATCTCGGGGGTAGTCAGAAATCCCCCATATCAAAGTGTGGAAAGAAATAGCAATTTCAGAAAAAGTGAATTACACTTAAGATTTTACTTTTAAAGCAAACTCGTCACACCTGAGCTTCGCTTTCGCTGCCTTCCAGTGGTGAGGTAGTCTTTGAAATTCTCCTACAGAGAAGAGACACTTTTTAACACTTGAGACTCAGCAGACCAATAGCTCCTTTTGCCATTATAGGCATTCCCTTCCCAAAAGCATAGAACTGCCAGTAGAGCCACTCTACTACGCGTTCCGGTATTATTGTATTAGTAATGCTAACATCGTAAAATGAAGGGAAGTGTAAGTCTCGTTAGATTTTACTCCTGAGTTCTCAGTTGTTGCTGCTCTAACCATTGTTGCCTAAATTATAAAACAACACTAGGCGATTGTTTCACCAATATAGTTACAGCTACAGATCCGGGTGTATGCCTTCTGTCTGCCTGTAGACCCACATAATTATAGTCTCGACGACAAATAAACGTGGCATCCTATTTTTTTTGCTGACCAGTTCCTTAACCTGGACAGGCTGAGACCCTGCTACTGAACCAGAGTACACAATCTGTGACCTCATTCTAGATGAGCTGATCCTACTAAAATTTATTACCCAATAAAAACAGATTTAAGAATGTTGACTAAGTAGGCATAAGCTAGGTTAAAAGTAGGCAAAACTAATTCAATTGAGGGTAGAATTTACAACGAATCAGGCCTCCTTCGCGTAAGTAAAATTCAAGTCGTTATGATCGACCTATGCACGGTCAGATTACAAACATGCCAACAATAGATGCTGTGCCCAAAGCGGCCTTGTATAGGCACATCTGCCTCCTAGTAACTTTTAGAACTTAACCAACAAAAGGAATGGGCATTGGTGGGGAAATATACAAACTAACCCATCCGATAGTGCCATCTCTCCATCGCTAGACTTTTCATGTTCTTTCTCTGAAAACAGAAAATGCACAGTAGGCAAATAAGTTGTAAAATTACACTAATGTTGAGCGGACCGCATGCATATGGAGATGGGGTGCATGTGGAGCAGTGATAATCTACGAGTGCAAATAAAAGCACCCACTTTATGACTTGCGCAAAAAGGTGAATATTGCGCGCATACTTAGGGTAAGTATAACCTCTCTTAGGGTTTGAGGTGAGCCCTTTGATGGTGATAGATGGGGAGAGCTCCCAAAAGGGCCGATAGGAGAGTACATAGGCCAGATTCACATAAAAAGGTGAAAATCATATTTTTTTGCCGTTAAAGAAATATAAGTTTGTTAATATAAACCGAAAACCGCTCCCACAACGTCATGACGAAGGAAATCAGCTGGAGGCCAAGATCAGATTTCGGTCTGGGATAACAATGCAGACAACTAAGCTACCCCATACCTAGGGTGGGAGGAAGAGATGACTCTTGCAAAGCTGCGTCCTCAACGGCTCTCGGAGGGATGTGCTGAGCAGTGAGGGGGACGGAAGGAGGCTTCCCTTGACTTCCCTCAATCCCATTCATACATGGCCGTGCGCGCTCAGGAAAGCTGAAGATGTGTATAAAAATGGGAAAACACAAATTGTTACAATTTCAATAAACGGAGTGCTTATTTAGTACTGACGCTAGAATATAATCTAAGAACTATTGAGGTAAGTATCTCCAAAGGTCATAGAAACACATACACCAGTCTATTGCGCCTTCAAAGTGCAATAATAAACCTAAGGACTACAACAAACTACCTTAAATGTATGCACTTTATATCCAGGAAGTACATTGGAGCTAAGCGTGCGATAGGTTAAAATGTTCCATGCTAGACAATACTTATCACATAAATTACTGTTCTCATTGATCTTGTCGCTTACGACTTTCGTATGTCAAGAAGTTCGGACACCTACGTACAGCTGCACCTACTTCAATGCACATATCGACCGAAAAATGAAAGTATTTTGATGATCATTAGATAAAAACATCAAGTCTTATCTCATCAAACAGATTTTAGTAGCAGATATTGTTAAGACCGAAGAACGCTTGAAGCTATATCAAGCATAAGAGTTCCTAAATCATTAAAGAAAACAGGGAACATGCCTGTTTAATTGACTGACAAGGGCAGCTGCCAATTCCTTCATAGAGGGCGCGTCGTCGTCATCTGCATCACCATTTGATGCCTTGATTGCATTTCGAAGACGTCTTTGCACCGCGCTTTCCCCTTTTAAATCCGCCAAAAAGGACGGAGTTCGGGTCTTTAAATTAGCACTTCGGGGGTCTCTGCAAAAACTTAACGGTTTCGTAGCAGTCAAAAAGCCATCAACTGATACAAAGCCTCTATGATTTCGAATGGCAGAAAAATCACAAAAGTGAGACACAAACAGTAAGAATATGAATACGCACTAAAAATCTATAAATTCACATACACAGGTGATGTAGTCCCATTTTCATTGGCATCACTTTCGGTACATAAGTCCTCGATCGGGAGTGGTTTACCACATTGAAACAATTCGCGCATTAATGACACACGTCTACTACATTAGGCGAAAATGTGCAGCATACCCGTGCTTGAGAAGTCCTGGGATTTCAAGGCTGTCATAACGGGCAGCACTTGCTGGCTTTAACAACACCTCTGCACTACTTGATTTGGCCATGTTGTCAAGAGTGTTTAATAGTATCTTGAATCATGCTGCAAGCTTGACAGAGTAGAAGACTAACCCACTTGAACTGGAGAAACCTCGCATGGACCACAAAAACAACTAGGCGCCCGTAAAGTTCACCAATTAACTTCAAGGATATATATTTCTGATGTCTATCGACGTAGTCAAACTAATATATGCTCAAAATTTTTACGTTTGCTATAAAGATAAATTAGAATAGATCTCTCCATGGTGTTTTATTAAATGAAATGTAGTTGCGGTTTTTAAATTTAGGTGTTTGGTGTGTAATCTGTTTATCTAAAATTTTAAAACAAATTATAAGTGGATGTGCTTAAATTGGGGCAATTTTATTACAGATACTGTAGGATACCGAGACTTCCCGCCGGGTAGGAGGAGACACTAAGTGGAGTTCAATAAATGCATGCCAAGGCGGACAAAGGAATTTAGCCTAAGCCTAGTCCGAATTTCAACTCACGTTCACAAGGACCAAAAAAACTTTAAAGCATCTACCGGACTTTAGGAGGTCACGCAAACAAAGTATTACAGCTATGGGAGTGACAACTTCTGAAGAAATCCGGTCATATTTATAGTCACAAAACTACTCCAAGTATATAAGCTTTTGTCCCAAAACACGGTTCAAATTGGAAGGCAAAAATTCTCAATGCCTCGCCTTAGCATAGAAGAGTATCAATCTGCAGACGGAGGTGCTGAAGATAATGTTAATAATTCCAGCGGCTTAAGACTACCTATTAGACATTTGGAGGCATGACGTGAGTGTTAGCCTTGCTATAGAAGTTAGATGGTCACCTGGGCGGTCTCTAATTATGCAGGGTGTTTAACAAACAAATTTTCAGTAGCGGTTAAAGTAAATCATCAGTTTATTCCTAAGTGAAGCTAAAAGTATTTGAGTTACTAATGAAGAAGATCTTGGTTTTTCCGAAAAATGCATTCTTATCACAGATACTGTAGGACCTCCCGTCCTGCCCTCAGGAGCCTGAACCTCCGACTCAAAAGTGGGCCGGTTGAAGATTTATTTGTCATCATGTGAAGAATGGAAAGTATGGTATGGATGAAGAAAAAATCTAACCACACCCCACTGATATCTTCGCGTTCATCGCCAATGAGATTCGTGTTCGAATTGATTGACCGTCTCTCTCTCATAAAAACCACTTAAACGCGTTAGTTTAAATTACAAACACTCCCTTAAAACTCCCACTACTAAACGGTCACCTGGAACTTTTTGCTTTACTCCGTCATTCTAGGCTACGGTGCTTAAAACCGACAAAATTCTTTTTCTTTAGCATAACTGACCCGTCAGACCAGTAGACTTTGTTGGGTTACCATGCCTATCTTCTCCACTGAAAAAGCCACTTTATGATGCGCCAACCAGGTGTCTAGAATTAGGTATTCCACACGAAATCTGTTTATAAAGGACCTGCTGCAATGATGATCCATACACTACAATGACGGAGGTCGCTATAAACTGGTAGAGATCGCTGACCGTGGTTAATGGTGTGCATAACTCATTCGTCTTGCTGATTGGTGGCTTGGTGTTTCAAAACCTTACTTCCTGTACCTACGGGTGAAGGTCAAGAGGGTTCAGACTGCGAGCTTTTTAGCCTAAGCTTTTTCAATTATACAGTCTATGTCCTTGCCTAAATCACTGAAAGGTTGAGCAAACTGCACCGTTTACTGCTACTTACGGTCTGTAAAACCTTCTACTTACAACTGACATCACAACCACCTTGCTTTTGTATGACTTAGACTGGTGAACTCAGTTTGAGCACTGCTTTTGTTATTTTTGTTTCGTGATCTTTGATGGTAGAGGAAGTAGGAGGTGTATGGTCAATCGGGATGGGCGTTTGACGTTTCTTGAGCTGCTGCGTACACAACTTCAGACCTCACTTTGGAATAAATTTCGGTCCTCCCTCAAAAGGAAAGTTGACTAAACTGCGTTTGTGTTCACGCAGATCCCTTCAATCTTTAAAGAGGTGAGGTTCCCTTGTTAATTCTCAATCCAAAAATTAAGTAAAAGGGTGTGATTTTTGAGAACGTCTGTGCAAAAGGTGTTACTTAGTGCTCTTGAGCTGCGCTTCCTAATGCCGTTACGTTGAGATCACCAGATGATGGCATTAAAGAGGACATTAATTTGACTGATTAAAGTGCCTGAGGCACCTCTGAGAAGTTTCATGCAACAGACTGATGGAAACTTCCGGTTTTCGTGAAGTTACAAGGTCCCTTCCTACCTTCGCCAAAAGAAATGAATTGCAAACCCAATCGTAATGTACCGTGTTTTCAGTGGACCTTGACAATTGTTCGTGTTTCTGTCCAAAGGTGAACAGAAATCGCCTTTTGTGATGAGTCGACTGGCTAAATAAATCCGATCAGTGGTACGATCAGCAACCAGGCATAGCGTAAGGCATTGGCATATAAATATTTCCCTTTGTGTTAGCTGGAGTGAATTTTTTAGAAAGGCTTCTCTTGCTGTCACTGGAACGAAAAAAGGAACTGAGCATCAAATGAGGAGTTGAACTGGTGCATCAAAGTAGAGGGCTGCTTGAATGGATCGTTGTAGAGGGTGATTTTGTTTTCGATTGTGAAGCTATCATAGCTAAGCGCCCACTGCTACTTAATCGCCGTGGACCAAGGATCTGACTGGAATGCACTCTCCTGTGGGATTCCTTTGACGCTTAGCTATTATCTCAAGAGACACCATTGAAATTAGAAGAGATACGAAAACTACCCAACTTTTATTTATTTCCTCGGCTAATGCGATTTCCTCCTTGAAGACAAAAGTAGCATTTTAGCACGTAACACGTCTTCGTATCGAGAAAACTCTGATGTAGTTAGGAAATGCATTCCTTCATCATGGGTACGAGGAGGTAGGATGGTGAAGGCACACTGCACAACACAATCACCAAGTTATACGTTAGCGAAGTCTACTTACGTAACTGATGGGACAGAGAAATGCAGTTGCTCTCCATAGCTCCCGGGCGACTCTCTTAAAAAGGTCGTCTACTCCTCACCAGAAGCGTTCGGAACACATTTCTGGAATTTGAGATCGACGTCGTCGGAAGGAATTGTAGCTCTTCCAAAATATCAACGACTAACGCATCCTTTTCGTGGCAATCTTGGAGGCGGTTCCTTCCGCAAGTGAGACGCATATCGCCTTTTCTCTAAAATAGTCGGAACTATTTGCTACTGGCAAATTGGTGAAGTTTAACGATAAGATGTGGTGCACTTCAGGCTGGTTTCGAAGGCGGTACCAGGAGGAGGTCTTGCCCGCACAAAGATGCCTCATTTATGATAACTCTTCTGTACTTGTTTTTTACTATGGGATTGGAAGTGGAGAGAACGGAAGTGATATGATTGGCTCCTAGGATGGATTCTGACAAAAGTTCAGTCCACCCAATGGCGATTGCTTTGGATTAAAATCGATGGAGTTATAGTAGCTTCTCAGCCTTGGGTCAGCTTCTTTTGAGGCGCCTTTTTTAATGCTGGCTCCAAAGCGGTGCCTTAAGCATCCTTTTAGGCAGTGCAAGCTTCGTTAGTTCGAAAGTAGCAGTATTACCAGGTCGCAGATCGGCTTTCATATTGCGGCCGTCTAAAATGTTCGTGCATATGAACACTCGTTAGAGATGAATCTAATTTTACCTGCAAAACCGACAACGGTACTGATTTCGAGCCTCGATCATCATTTTGAATACAAGTTAGATTAGGCGATTTTTTTTTCATCTACGCCCACCAAGACGTGCGTGGCATCTGCTGATCAAAGCCGTACCACTGGGAATAACTATGTGGAAAACGTGCTCAAGGCTATCCTTTTGAGAGAAGCAAATTGCAATGACTTTACATAGTTTTCCCCTTCAGTCTTCCACGTTTCGGCTACCACACCGAAGGCAAGGAACAGTGCTGAATACCTCTCTATTGATAATCAGCATTCTGGAGCTACTTCAGAATTGTCCGGCTTTTATGGTCTCTACGGTTGCCATAGTCATCTGCAGTAGGTAAATACATGCAGGGGTGGTTGCAAGAAACATCGTGGACCTTCGATAGCTGCTCGCCTTATCATTGGTCGGTCGGAAGGGGAGGCATTGATGCGAGGAAAAAGCCCTGCCAATAGGGAGGTGACGACGCCATCGTACATGCGGAGCAATCGAGTATATTGTTGGGGCTAGAGTACCGCTGCTCTTAATAAATTTATGGAGAAGGGAGAGGATGGCGCTTGTGCGAGGCTCTCGCAGCTGGACACAGATTTCAGGCATTAGAACAAAGTCGGAATATTTTCACTCAAAGTCGTCACATTGGTGGGCTGGCTCACGGGACAATGCCACAGTACGGTAAAGATGACCCTGATTCGGTTCACTGATCCCACGACGACAGCATTGTGTGATGTCGTGTGATTATCAGGCATCAATGACGTGCCTGTAAAAGCATTTTAGCCCTCAACTCAACGCCTGTTTTATTATAACATAGGCCCAGGGAACACGTCTGATAGTTACGGTTAAAATAGGCTTAGAGCCCATCAGATGCTTGAAAATTAAGTCAAAGTGCTTTTGCTTCGCTGTGGCTTTCACACCTTCACAATTACAGCTTGACTTTTGAGCTTTCATAAATCTGTTCTCTTGGGTCCTTGATTAAATGCAATGAAGATCCAAGAATGATGGCGTACGGTCGTTCTAATGGTTCTCAAAACCAACCAGTGGTCGCACAGAACTATGAAACCTTAATTATTCATGGGTAAAGTGTAATGGTCCAGTTTGTAGTTTTCTGAGCCAGTCAACTCCTCTCTCTCTCTGGTATCGAGTTTAAAAGTCAGCTTACTCCGAGGGACGACTCATGTAATCCTCCGCTCTCGGGATCGACGTCCATGAGTGACCCGAGCATATTTGGTAAGTAGACGTTTGATATATTAATAACGCAAAAATCAGAAAATGAAATGCGTTCAACACACCTGGGCTGCAGTGGAGTTGTGAAAACGACGACGGTCTTGACTGCTAAGCCTAACAACAGGTCGCAAGAACCACCTCAACTGACCAATTGCGTCACCCACGCGGGTAAACATTGCAACCGCCTCCTCACCCAAAGCAACTGATTACCATACAAGCACAGCATTGGGGCCTACAATTTCTTTGTACCTCCTGCTATTCTTACATCTTGCCTTCACTCGTATCACTCTTCAGGTGCCACAAAAGAATATTGACTGTTTTGGTCTTTTTAAATTTTATATCATTCATTTTATCATTTTAACAGCATCTTGAATGTCTGTGGTGGAGCGAATCACATTTGTCGACGCAATCAATTCGTCAACTGTCGACGCCCAAATTGGCTGGCCATCCTCATCATCAACATCACCGCCGACCCTCAAGACTCTCCCTCCTCCACCCTCGTCCCCGTCCTCCTCTTCGTCCTCCTCCTCCTCCTCCACCACCTCCTCCTCCTTCTTTTGCTCCAAGTTGTCCAATAAATTGCGTCCAGACGTATCCGGTAGCCAAAACAGATTCATCATCTCGAGGATGAGAATGGCTATGTAGATGATGATGGGAAAACCGTGAAATATGACAGAATCAAGAGCGTTTACGAAGGGGCAGATTATTCCGCCAACCCGACCCAGTCCAGAGGCCATGCCCAGCCCCAGAGCTCGTGACTCCGAGGCAAAAAGCTCGGGAACATACATGAAGACCATGTTCAGAGCTGCAGCCAACAGGATCAGTGCGAGGTTGCAGCAAATGTTCAATACAAGGTCTGATTCCGGTCTGACAACCCAGTTGTATATCGAGGCAATAGCGAGAATGACAAGAGATAAAATATACATCACTGCAATGGGCATCTTGCGCCTCTTGCAGTAGCGATACAGCAGACCCGATATGATGGTGGCAGGGATTTGCGTAGTGGCGTTAAGGAAGTTCACCAGGTATATGTTCACACGAACGGTGCTGCCATAAAAGATTAGGCCGAAGGTGGTGGCCAGTTGACCAGAAAAGAGGAGAATGCACTGCACAGTTGTTTGGGCCATCCTGCGGTCCCTGAAAGTCTTGAGCACTTGACGGAATTGAGACTGCGGTGGATGGGGCGAGGGGGCGGAATTGCAACTGTTCGCCTTCAGCGTTGAAGCCTCCTCTTGAATCCTTCGAATAAAATCCTCTTCCGTTACCGGTACAGCCTTTTTCTTAAAAATTGTCATTCTTACATTCACCCGGTAGATTTTGTAGAGTTGATGTAAGGCATCCACTTTCCGATGCTGTGAAACGAGCCACCGAGGTGACTCAGGGAATAGAAAGATTGACGGAAAGCTGAAGAAGGTACTCATGCACAAAATGCCGTGAAACCAGCGCCAGTCAGGGAACCAGTAGGCTAATGGAGAAAGCATAACTCTTAATAGAAAACCCTGAATAATAGCCCAAATTCCACTGATAAGGGAGCGCTGACGAGCTGTGGTCATTTCCATGCATAATACCAAGAGAACAGCTATTTTGATGGAGCTGGAACAGGCGAGCGAGACACGAAAGACAATGTAGAACCAGAAATTGGGTGACAGCGAGACGGCTACAGTGGCCAGGCCTTCAAAAATGCACGCGATGAGAGCTGTCAGTCGACGACCAAATCGATCACCAGCTAAGCCTCCGCCAATAAAGCCGAGGAGCATGCCTCCCATGTACATCGCAGTGCTGAACGGAACCTTCCAGGCTTGATCGCACACTAGATCCCACTCATTGACTATCCCTCCAGGATACTGCTCCGAGGAAAACTTGTACACGTAGCCGTTGTCGCATGGAATGGTGGTCATTTGAGTCTGATTGGTAATTGGTGAGGTGATTGGGGTTCGGTATCTTTGACAACCAATAGCGCGATTCTCGAGAGTGACGGATGCAGTAGACGAAGGCCAGGGCCCTACTAAGGCAGCAACCGTATCAAATGAGTCGCCGCTATATCGAAATTCCGTAGCTTGGTCCATTCGACATCTATGCGGTAGTTCGGTGTTTCCAAAGACGGGAAAGACAACGGCAGCTGGTAGAGTAAGCGCACTGATGGTGACCATCGCGATTTGCACAAAACCGATGTTACCGGAGTGGCGTTTGAGGATGTGGTCCACGTCCACTTTCTGAATAAATTCTTTTACATTATCCTCTTTGTTATCGTCCTCAGCTCGGTGGGAGGGAGAGCCTGCCCCTGAAGTTGCAACTACGCCCACCATCCTCCACCTCTGAAGCCAACAACGTACTACCAAGCCCCCGCCCTTCCTAAGGGCTAATATGTGACTCGAGGAGGAGCCTGACATTTCATTGGTTGACTCGCACAGCTGCTACCGACCAATCGGCTGCCAGTTGTTACAATGTAACAGGCCTGGCCTTGAATCGAAGGCGGGAAATTGTAAAAATAATCAAGACATGGATTGGCGTCAATGATAGCCCTGAAGTTAACCATAACAGTGACCTATACATGGGAAAATGATGTTTTGAGCTAAGTCAGTTGTTTTGTCAATTTTTTTGGAAAATAATTAAATGGAATCGGATTTGGCGTCTGAAATGGGCGCAGTGAGACTGCCGCTTTAAAAATAAGTGTGCTAGTGAATTAACCTAGCTTTCAAGTCACCCTACCAATATTGTCAGAAAAAAATCTGGTCTTACAGCACCTCTACGCCCGCCTTAATGGGGAACTAAGATTTAGCGTGTGGATTTGGTCGTAACCTCCACCACCAAGAGTTTTAGGTTTGGTTAAGGTTTCCGGTTTAGGTTTCCAAGATATCCCGGAAATTCGCTATTCATGGCTTATTTGACTTGAGAGGGCGACTATTTGTTTGCATTAAATGCATAACTTTAACGGAGCAAAACGATGGTACTGACCAAAAATGAGGTTGGTGACAATCGTACACAGAATAGATGAGTCAACCGATACGGCTCGAAGGCAACTCCACAGAAAGGAAGTTAAAATGCTGTATTGAAATATTATTTATCGCCCATAAATATATCTTCTCTATATAAATAAATTCGAAGACTACTAATGCTCCAAGTGCAATGGAAGGATAGAATTTCTTCAACGGTTAGTCAAGTGGTCTACACTTACGTACTTAATTATACATTGTTAGCTTGAAGATTCAAAAAACGGGACTCCAGTAGCCTAAAAAAATAATGCGTCTTATCGTATTGGCGAATATTTTCAGCTGACCATGCCAATGGATCGACCAGCTTTGCCTATCGTTTTGTTGTTTGATTTGTCTCACCATTACAGAGCGCAATGTAGGATCTTATCACCGGCTGTTTGAAGTAAGCGAACCCGTCGTAAAGCGAGCACATTCGAAGCATAAAACGAGAAACATCACACAGCAGCATCTTCAATTTCTAGCATCTGCTCAGCTAGTGAATCTGCTCCACATCTGCTACGTCGGCTGGTGCGCCAAATATCGATCGCTCTGCCCTCCCGCACGAGGCGTATCCGTCGCCTCGCTAGCGTCGGCCCAACTGAAAGTATCCATTTTCACTGACAGCATCTGGTCCTTCGCCCAATGCTGTCAAGTTGGCTTTGATATTGAGCATGCCTATTAATTATTTAGCACTAAAGAGGGAAAGTTGAAATTTAAGATTTGGGTTTGCTTAAATTTTAGCAATTTCTGCGTACCTGTGGTAACTTTTTCATTTGGTAAACCTTACATTTCGGACATTTGCTTACCTTTTCGCGGGTGGAATCATTTTTTGATAATACGGGCATAACATAGCGCACATATCGACCCTTCTCCTCCTTTCCCAACACTCAGAAAACACAGTTCGCTCACGTGACTGGCCTAATAATAATCGCGCACATTTGTGCTTTGCAATGGCCTGGCGATAATGAATTTTTCATCATGACTGTCTTATTGGACCGACATTAGCCAAACAAACTGTTCCAGACTTACTAGAATACGGTAAGAGTTATTAGAAGGGTTGCGTGTCGTTGACACTATTCTGTCACTACCAAAGTGGGCGTTAGTTACCTAAATCCTAGTGCCAACGTTTTTGGACAGGCTGTCCCGAAGATGTCATCCAGAGTTTTCGACTTGCAAATCAAACATTTAAAGGACATTTAGGGTGCTTTGTGTTTTTCGCAAACGTTAAAATAGAATTCATTCATGGTAAATGAATCAGAACACCGAGATAACCTTCTGAATGAAGGAGGTAATGACGATTAAAGTCAAAATTGGAACCCTAGGCGAGGTGAACGCTATTTATTTCGTAAGTAAATGCTGTATGAACATAGTTCTACTACATTATAGTCTAATCATATATGAATCGAAGGAAGGTGTGGTTGATTTTGAGGAATTGAAGTTTTAATGCTTTGGAATGCATAGTAAGGAGCAGCGTTAGAAATTAGCCGCACCCATTTACGTGTCAAGGCTTTGAGCTGATAGAGTAAAAAAGACACAAGTTTTCCTTCACAATGTTAAGTTTTTCTGCTCTAGCAACATCAAGATCCTTCCTTGATCTAACTCACCTTGTATGCCATAACAGCAACAAACATCCAGGATACCACGGCGCTCAATGCCACAAAGTATTCACACCATCAAGATAAAGAATCAACATAATAAACCTGTTTTTTCCATTGGATTAGGTAAATAATACATTTGTAGAAGTTAAGGCCATTTGTGTTGCCGTTTCATGCAGTGGGTGTAGGCCGTGTCATGCTGACAATGAATGATGCCTCCGTGCCTCCGCTGTAGGAGTGATGAACACGGAAGGACTTAGTTACAAACGTCTTATAAGACTAGTTGAAATATCTAAAAGCGCACTTCAACCCACCCAGGAAACTGAGGAATGCAGTGTTTTATTCAGTGCCTGAGCGTATAGTATGCTTGCTTTAGTAGGGCCGAAGGATCACGATTTGGCAGTCTGTAAGCTTGCCATCAGATTTTGATACAGACGTCGCATTAGCTGCTGGTTGTGTACTTTTGCCCTTCCTTCATTATCCGTGCGTCTAAAATCAAGGCTTAAAGGGTTAAGATGTCTCTGTGAAGAAAAAATGCGTCACAGACCATCTGTTTCTTCAAGCTGCTTGCATTCGCTTGCCTCCAGGAAGGTAGTTTATTCAAAACCATTGGCAATCAGAAGATTTTTTTCGACAACTTTCGCAGAAGTCTAGGAAACAGAAAACCAAACAACACAGTCAGTTTTAATTGGATGTAAAAATTTTGTTTTATTTGCATCATTTTTGCATATATATTAAAGATTAGAAGCTGCTAACGCCCTCAAATTCACTGTTGCATGAACAAATGACAAAAAGCTGAAAAACCGGAAAATGTGTTACCGTTTCTGTGGCGATAGGTTTAAAGTGTAAAAAAGTGAATTTATATTTAAGTGTGTTAGTATTTTTGGTGGTGTGAGGAAAATTTTGTACAGCTGGGCAATTAATTAATAACGAAAGCTCTGAACTCTCCTGCCAGTTCCTTCACATACGAAGTTTGGCCCTCTTCAGCACTTGTATGGGCAGAGGGGGAATGCGTTAAGCGCCATGCATATCCTCATTAGTTGTAGGGACGATATTTAAAATAGCTTTGCAAGTGTAGATATGATCTAGTGGAGATGAGGCTTGCCTCTATTCAACCAATCAGTAGATCATATCTGCCATCTTGATCCCATCCAGTTGGTGAAGGAGTTCACATCCGCGACACTCCTGCAGGTCATACGACTGCAGTAGTTGCCATAGGTCTGCCTCGTCCCCCGACGGTCCCCTGTAGTAGACATTCCCTCTCCTCCACGTTAAGATTTAATATTCAAAAAAGGAAATCCAAGTAGTCGTACGGCACCACTAATGTGGGTCCTTTAGTCTTCCAGAAAGTCTGAGTGGTTAGCGAGACGTTGTGCATTTGGAAAAAAGGGCCAACGCGAAACACGTAGTAATTTAAAGGAGAATCAATTTGGATTTAACAACGGTGGACGATCGTGCTCCATTTCAGTGGTCAAGGTGATAGTGTGCTGCAAAACCAGCCAAAAAGCCATTTTGTGAATAAGGAGTTTAGTCTGACTTATTCAACTTAATTTGTCTGGCAGTGAGTGAATCAGCAGACCAGGTTTTCTGCGTAGACTGAATCCATTTGATGCCTACGTTCCGCCATTATTATCATCCCTTTAGGCAATTCCCAACCCTTGCCATAGAGGCTTGGCATTAAGTGACAAATGTTTTGATAATTTCTTAAGGAGATTATTTTTAAAGTTGAGGAATTGACACACCTACTGCCTTAGGCACCGGCAGAAAATTGACTATGAGGCCACAAAAGGCAGCCACTGCTCAAATTTATGACGCTCTGAAACTAGAAGGGTGTAATTGTCCTCAGATCAGGAGCTCCTCACACACTCATGATTTACGACCCTCATCAACTCAGCCAATCTGCTTGCTACACACGACCTGCCGCAGTTACTTGCCATGAGCGTGTCAAACGTGGTGACGTAAGCCGTTGGCTGAGCACGGCCTTCCAACGCATTTCTATGCACGAAGATTATTCGTCCAGTGCTCCCTCAGCCACACTTACGCGTAAACTCACTTGCTTTAGCCGCGAAAAAAAAGTTGTGTGACTGGAACAGGGGGTGTCAACTTATGCACCTTTTGACAAAGTCCCAGATGATTGTCTAAAAATAACTGCGGCCTTCCATGAAAGGGACCTTAGCAAGGGATCAATATCCTTTGCATAAATTATCACCGATTACTGCTTACTCCAAGTGGTGTTTGAAGGACAAAATGAATACGATTGCCTTCCACATCAGCAACAGCATCATCATCTGTTGTTCTATGCCCATCCAATCTGTTTGTGAAGAAGACATTTCTCCTTACCGCGAAGGACAGCGGAACTCAGAGGATGGTGTTTTATGACGTAGGTCAGAGAGATATTTGGAAAGAAATTTAGCCTAATTTAAAAAGTGGGGCTCAGCAAAGAGTCACAGAAAGCCACGTCCAAATTGAGACAAATGCCACAACCCCAACGAATTGTTAGCAAATTCATTACTTCTCCCCCCCCCTCCCCACAACCTAAGTCATCATCCCGTTTCTAGACCCATTGAACAGGAGGAACCCATGTCAGCCGCAGGAAGTGAGTGTCACCTCCTGCAGTATCATTGGGTTCTGATGGACGGGATACAATGCCATCATTTGGATCAAATGGGATACCAATACGTCAGTTCGACATTCTAGTGAAGACTAACCACTTGGAGGAGGCAGAGCCTCCAACGGAAAGGCTGCTTTGTCATTTGACAAAACACAATTTAAAAGATGTTGGGTAGTCAAGTTAGAACGTACACAGATAACCGTGGCAAGCTATGATGTGTTTGAGCCATTGCTGCTGTGCAGAGCAATGGCAAATGGATTTAGTCATCGTTACTTGCGTGCGCGACATTCATTGAAGGTCGCCTACAGAAGGCTTTTTGCTAGTTCAAATCTCTCCACTGCTCTATCAAATGGGGGAGTAGGAGATGCGCATGCCCAACTTCTCCTGTCTTCCGTACGACTGCACAGCGCACTCGCCTGTGCACGTTGGTGTTGTAGGCCTTCCACCTGAAGGGCGCTAGTGAAGCAAAGTGTGAGATTTAATCAACAAGACTTCCATGGAAGTATCACACTACTCCTTTTAAATTCGGAACAATTACTGATTCTGTTTTACTATGGTCAAGCCTCAAGCTATCTATTCAACGCACAAGAGCGCAAATGTACCCATGAAATGCAGCAAAAACGGTTCGCCCAGACAGCCCCGCTTCAGCAGCGTTAGGTGGAGGAAAAATTGAAAAAGCAGCAAATGCAAACGCATTTACCTTCCACAAATGTGGATATACTCTTCTTGGTGCAAGAAGCTCAGCGAACCCGTCCTACGACTAAGCGCAACTAACCGTCGCTGACGTCTGAACATTGAAAGCAATTTAAGCATTCAAATAACGGATGATTTATTGACGAATTGGCAATTTTGACTTCGGTTGCATGACTACCGAGATCAAGGAACCAAACAATGAACCTACCATCCACCCATCACCCTCCTCGAATGGGTGTCTTAAGAATTGTGTGACGATCATAATCCGCTGTGAAATTGGTGCACCCTTCCCCAAAGTGAAGTACACTTGCCATAATGCCCTAACGGTGAACCCTTCCCCTCAATCCACGCTGGAACATGATGGATGGAGGTGGCACCAAATGGAAAAGGGCGATCATATTCCCTAGCAGAAGTTAGGTGCAGGAAGGCCGCGACCGTTTAATTATTTTAACCGCACCGCCGGCCACTAGAGGAATGCACCCTATTCCATCGCTCATAGAAAGTTGAACCTTTGATCTGCTAAAGTATAAATACCCGTAAAAGAAGTGAAGATACAATTGTTTCGACAAGTTTCACTTAAATTTCCTCCTCTCAAACTCTCAACCGCACCGTTTGACTGAGATGGTTACAGTTTGTTGCCATCAGCCAAGCAACAAGTGTCCAACATCCTCTATTAAACAGCACTTTTGTTACAACAATGTATGGATATACTTCGCCTAAGTCTTAATTTAAAGCTAACTTCTAGTGAAGATTTTAAGGCACTCCTCCTTCGAATTGTAAGAAACGATGTATATTCATTTTCCTCCTCACCACAACACCAGCATACCGTGTCGAGTGAGACGTAAAGAGTATGTACATAGTTAAGTTTAGAGAAAAACACAGGCTTCAATACTTGATTCGCTTTCCGGTAGCGTCTCCGGCTTCTTGGGCCATTTGTTTGCGCTTATTGATGAGGGAGGTGATCTGTTGCAGCTGACGGTCGACTTCAGCGCGTTCGTTCTTTTGGCTTCCACCGGGGCCTCCGCCACCTCCTAGTCGACGCGTTTTGCGCCCTTCAGGTTTCTTCACACCGTACTGATAGGCGGCCCTCGGCATCGCCTCCAGACTTGACATGTAATCCCCATACTCCTCCTGAGTCTCAAAGTCCCACCTTCCTACCGGACCTTTCTTGTTCCCCATATCCATCTTGCTGAAGTCTGTCTCCTCATCTGAATCACCCATGGCGTCATAGGACTCCGCAAAACCCGGATAGCACTCATCGTAACCTGAGATTTCCGACTTCTTCAACAAACGCTCCAAATGGGTCTTTCAAGTTAAAAAAATAAAGAAAAAACAAGGTTAAACACGCCTATCATCTATGTATGAGATATTATCTAAAGGTGTTTTCAGATTGAATCCGATACGGTTTTTTCAAGCCCAGCGTCTTAAATAAAATTCCGGGAATGGGCGTACAAACTCGGTAAAAGGAAAGGGAGCGAACCGATTTCTGACATTTTAATTGAACCAAACGATTATGAAAAGGTGCACCCCAGGATTGAGACTAACAGTAAGTCAAATGTGGTAAGACGATGGCATGGCTCCATTCTATGCCCTAAAGCTACAAACAATTTAGCAGGAATGACAATTTGTATTATCGATTAGACATTGAAACACCGATTAACCCTACTGGAACCATATCTGGAAATTCACTCCATCTCTCCTCGCTCTTTGACATATAGCAATGGAAGCAAGCAGATGGCGCAAGAGACTAGAGATGCCACAACAAAGACCAGGTGCACATGAAGTCCCTTCAAAAAAGCACAGGATCTAATGAAAATTTACGCGTACGCTCTTCAAGACCCCAGAAAAAAATTCTAGTCTTTCAGATGGTACCGCAAAGAAAACAGGAAACTAAAACATTTACCCAAAAGCGGATATTCAAGTCATGAAGGCAAGCGAAAAAAATCAGGGTAAAGCGGAAAATGATCGTTAGGCCTCCTAAATCTCGCAGAGTGATTCGCCCAAAGCTCAACTCCATAATCGATGATTTAGGTCCAAAAAGACAGCGTGGTAAAAAGGTAAAAGAGACTGTTCATTAAGAAAGTGAGATACCGGCGCGAATCTAGACAAATGACTTTGAAAAAACGCTTCCTACTGACCCAGAGAGAACAGTAGGTAGACCAAGAAAACGCGGAATATGAGAAAATTACTAGTCCTGTAGTAGAAAAGTGCAGGAAAGACCCCAATTAAGAGCCATTGTTAGAGCACAACGAGGGCAGCAGGTTAGAGAAGCGCCACTAATGCTTCCGTCTGTCAGAACCAAGGGGTCATTGCGGAACAAACGAACGATAGGTAGTTTTCGAAGGAGAATTGCCACCTCAAACCTACAGCAGCTTCGGTGGTTGGAAAGTTCAAGCAATTGGCCACATATAATCATAAGTGATATCATTTCGAATTTTTCGTGAGGGATCGTTGCGTACACAGAGACGATATTTGGAAGACAAGGGGTTCTCATATGGAGACGTAGATTAGGCAAAAAGTAGCATAGATGAATATACACAAACACCAAAAGGCGTTCCAGATGAGGCAAAGGCCGATTCGTGACTAGGAATAATGTTTCCCGGTCTAATTACATACACTTCGGGTCAGTTTAAGAAATTTATGTACCTCTTGCAATAAACTAAGACAAGTCACTAATTTATACAACAACGAGAAGGTAATCAGGCGTAGCGGTCACGTATCTCAATCCATAGAGGTTCGCAAGGTTTGCGCGAATCACTGACTTTACGTTAGGCCTCTTCTGACATCCTGGAGACGACCTATGACCCCTCCGAAACGCATTCCGCAAGGCACTCATGCACAAAACAGGGCGGCGAATCCGCATAAGGGAAATAGGCCACGTGCGAAGGCAACATAGAAATAAGGAGTAAGTGTGTACCAAATCCAGGATTTGAAGTATCGAGTATAAGAAATTACTATTTCTTTGGGAAATCGGCAAACAGAAGAAATCTCACAGTGAGACGACAAAGAGAAAAGTCCAATTATTTACTCTAACGGCGAATTTAGACCTTGTAAAACCGGTTTGAGGGTAAAAAATTCCTCATTATTACAAGAAACCTCGTCGAATGATAGTGGAGTTTAAATTGTCAAAACAATGGGTCATTGTATGCGCGACACGGTTAACACTGCAACGAATATAAGTGCCAAAGGAACAATTTCGTAGAGATTCGATCGTAACTTATAAACAAAAGCTAGGAGTAAAATCATATTTTGGCAAAGATACTGTTGGTAATGTAACAGGAGTGGAGCTAAATTTCTGTTGAGCAGACCCAGGTCTAGTGTCCCCAAAACGGCTAGTCACCCCAAATGGGACATGGGAACGAACACTGCAGTCAAAAAGATACCCTAATACAATGCAAGTTCATGAATGTAAATGGCCTGAAAAGTTAAGTGAAAAGTGAAAACGCTCCATGTCAATTAAGTCCCAGGGGCGCCAAAGTGGCGAAGCAATTAGTGTCACAAAACGATGGAAAAAACCGTAACTGTCCCATCTCGTGCGCGGAAATAAGTGGGTTGCAATAAAAGCAGCCTTTGGTTATAGTGCTATGTTAGGAACCAACCAAACAACTTGATAACTCCGTATTACCTGTCAACAACACAGTTATCTAATGGTCAAAGCCGATTTAAAATGAACTTCTCTTTCAAAATTAAGGAATATTCATGTCCAATTCTCACGCTAAAAGTCCCAGTAAGCAGCCAGCCAAGTAAATAAGGAAAAAAATTCAATTTCTCAGCCAACTAAATAACGGTTAGCAGAGTCCGTAGGTTGTCATAACTAGCCAATATTAACAAAGAAGCGAAAGTGTCTAGAGAATGTAACTAAAGCACACAAAAGGCACGTCATCGCAAATTTCTTCATTAATTCGCTCAAGTCTACAATTAAGGCTGGACGAGCTGGTTAGCGTAGAAAGCAGATGCGCGTAGATACTCAAAATTATAAAGTAGCGTGTATTTCCCGAGAACGTGTAATGAAGCTGCACCTCAATCGATGAACAATGAAAGGAATTCCATAACGAAAGATTCCAATTGAGGAACTACATATTAAGCTCCAACCAAGTACGCCGCTAAAAACACACCCCTCTTTGAATCATTTCAAAATCCGCCGATTTCTTAAACGATTGTCATCCAAAAGCGTGTTAACCAAAGAGCACCTAACCCCTTTGAATTACGATTTCAGTGAATTCAACCGTATATGCACCTGTTCATCATTCGCCTTTGAGGCAACAGCAGAGGTGGGATAATTGGAGGCTATTTGTTGAATGAAGTCCTTAGTTGCAGAGCGAGAGGCCTTAGCGGGTGGCGCCGCCACCGCATCCTCCTTCTCCAGAGGCTTCTCAAAGTAGCGACCACTGGTGGCACTTGGCTGCGTCCGTCTTTCCGTCTCATCACCTCCGCGTCGATGACTCCGATTTCGACCCACTTCTGCATCATCCCGGTGGGATCGACGCGTAGGTACGTACTCCGTAGGCGCATCCTCAAAAATGGCTGTAAAGGAAGCGGACCACCTTTGATGAGTAGTCTTAAGCCTTGCGTTGAAATGACGGTAGTAAACACCTTAGCAAATCAAGAGGTCTTCGCCAAAGCAGCACATGCCCTTTGAGCTAATAAAAAGTGCCCTGAAATCCCCAAACTGATACAACTCCATAGCGAAAATTCCACCGAATCCCATAATTTGACATTCGATTAAAATGAAAAGAGAGGAATGGGATGATATGAAAACAAAATGCACGAAAACGGGTCTTTTCAGCAAACTCAATAGCATCGTTGATAAGCCATCATCTTCGATCGCAGTTTAGCTGCATTGGAACCGTTGGAATTAAACTGCATTCAGAAAACAAATCTTCGAGAAAATGAGGAACCAGACACGCAAATGATTCTAGTAAAGACTGCCGTTGGTAAGTATAACAATGAAAGATTAAGTTCCAAAGCAGCATGACTGCAATGTCAGTTTAGTAACAACTTTAAGTAACACCGTGCTATTTCAAAAAAAGTGGGAAAAGACATCTAAATAACCAATTCTATTTAAAGCTATCTAGATAACACGGATGGTTAAAAAAGTGCTTTAAATTTCTACCACAACATAAAGATAACCGAATAAATTCGAATCAATGAGAAGCCAAGAGAAAAAGCCGAGGAACTCACGTTGAGACTTCTTTGTGCTTTCTGGTTGCATAGGCTGGATGTCGTATTCAGAAACGCCGCCCATCTTCTGCTTTGCCGACTTGGCCTTCTTCGCTTGTCTCCTACCAGCGCGAGTGTAAGCAAAGATCTGAGCCAACTTGTTGATGACAATATCGTTGGTGGTTAAATCAGAGTTTCCAGCCGCAGCTTGATCCGATAATGGACAATCCGCCTTACTCCGAATCACAGTTGCTGGTACTTCAAACTCTGCCATCTCGTCTTCCAATTCCACCCGATAGGCCATTCGACCAGGCTGAAAGAACTCATTCCGTTCCACTTTGCCCTGGTTGGTTTTAAACAAGGTTTCAATTATACCCTGGGCTAAACGTGTCTTGAAATGCAGTCCAACCTCAACCACCTCCCTTGAGCCCTCACCAATGGGTCTCTCAAGCTCTGCATCTAACTCCTCTTCTGCTTCCATCTCTTTGTTCTTAATTTCACGTCGGACTTTTTCCAGCAGAACATAGTCTAAGCCTTTTACCAAATGCGTATGTTGTATGTCACCACCAAAGTATTTCGATTCCTCTATAGCCCTTCTACGTTCTGCAGCATGCGAAGCACTAGAGGTGGGAGCGACGGCACGGTAGTCAGCCGTCCGCATAAGGCGATCATGCTCGTCCTCGCGATCCTCTGCACCTTCTCCACCATTCTCTGATGCATTTGGGTCGAGGTTTTCCATATTGCTGGAGATCTTGCCTTCTCGACGCTCACGCGCTCTGTCGCGGTACTTCGGAGCTGCACCACTGACTCCACCTTCTCCAACCTCACCACCACCACCGCCAACTGCGCCACTGCCACTGTCATCTCCACCCCGTCTGTGACGCCGATCGTGGCGATGATGGGTGCGTGCTTTCTGATGAGGCTTGTGAGAGTGCGTTTTGCTACGGTCAGCACGCCCGCGAGGAACGCTAGCACTCCCAACATCCTTTTGTGATTTACGAGGCCCTGCAGTAAGGAGAAGTTTGCGAAAGTCGCTGTTCGAGAGCTGAGTTTGCTTAGTTGTAGGCTCGCCCGACGGTGGGGGCTGAGGGTTGGATATTGCTTCTAGGGTATCCATTCCTAGAATGGAAGAGACAAAAGAAAAACGAACGAATAAAATGCATTGACAGCAAATTTAAGCTTGTCCTCCCAACGACACAGCTACCTTATTGCACAACTGCGATAAACCTTAAATAAGATCTAGAAACCCCAAAAGACAAGTATACACGCTATCATAACCTTATTTACAATTAAAGACCTAACAGAAACAGCGAGTATTGCAGAAATGAAACAC